AAACCAAGATATTTCACCGAGTTCATGAAGAATGTACACTTCTCTTCTTTTAGATAGAATCCACACTCAGATATTTTGGTTAAAACAGTATCGAGTCGATTGAATAACTCGGACTTACTGGAACCTGTAACGATTACATCATCCAAATAGACAGCGACTCCTGGCAAATTAGCTAACATAGTGTCCATTATTTGTTGAAAGATAGCTGGTGCTGGTTTCACACCAAAAGGTAAACGCTTATATTGGTAAAGACCTCTGTGGGTGTTAATCGTCAGTAATGGTTGGGAGGCTGGATCAACTTCTATCTGGAGATATGCGTCAGCCAGGTCAATTTTAGCAAAATACTTTCATCCATTTAGTTTGATGAATAAATCTTCCTGTATGGGAAGTGGATACGTGTGATCTTCTAGGGCATTATTTAGACCAGTGGAAAAATCAGCACATATGCGAATAGTCCCATTTGCTTTTCTCACGACCACTATGGGTGCAGCCCACGATGAATAATTTACTGGCTCAATAACACCTAGCGCTTCTAACCTGTCCAATTCTTGGTCAACGACTGACAGAGCAGCATAAGGCACTGGTCGTTTCGGTCTGAAAATGGGCTTTGCATTTTCCTTTAGTGATAAGGATACTTTGGTGAATTTATAACAGCCCAGTTTGTTTTGAAATACACATGCATGTTTTTGTCGAAGATGATTTATGTAAGATACGGACGACAATTGAGAGGAAACAGAAGACTTTGATGTAGACATAACATTAGAAAGAAGTACATGAGATTCCGAAGTTTCACCATCGCATACTTTGTCTGAAGTATTCGATTTGGAAATTTTATGAGAAGGCAATAAATCGGCGGTATTAGATTTGACATGGTGAGAACACATAACATTTGAATTGTTTGATTCAGAAAGATCATAAGAACATGTTTCATCAGAAGCATTTAATTCGTTAATATCCAGAGAGGATGATTCGTCGGAGGCATTTGATTTAGAACTATCATTAGGGATTTGGATAGACTCATAGGAAACATTTTGAGAACATACCTCATCTAATAATTTATTCAAAGTATCAACATGTGCAATCCAATCTAATCCCAATAGATCTAAATCGTGTCGATTTGTTAGATAACAAACATCTGTAAATTTACTTCCCATAAGTTGAACATTGCATAGAACCTCTCCTGTCAACTTTACTATGTCTCCTGACGCATTTCGGGCGACATGTTCCGTCGGTCGGATGGATGGGCATCCTAACGTGTGCCATGTGTTCTTTGAAATCAACGTGACATCAGAAGCAGTGTCCAACTGAAGTCGTATAAGTTTTTCATTTACTAATAAATTTACAAATTTCCGCCTATTTTTAAATCCAACTTTAAAGGTTGCGAACGTGGTTTTAACTTGACTGTTTGATCGTTGCTTTGAATTCTCACTACGATGTTTAGTCTTGCGTTTATTTAACGAACAATGACCTTCTTTGTGGCCAATGCGATGGCATTTGCGGCATTTATGATTCTTAAACGGACAGAATTTTGCAAAATGCCATGCTCCGCAGAACCAGCATGGTGATGGGGGGTTGGCAGGTTGTTTCCTGCTTGTACAGTTTTGTTTCGATGATTTTATGGATCGGAGCGCATTGATTGAATCAGAACCGGAAGGTTTAACCTTCTGCTGCACCATCGCAGTGTCATGCTTGAGATTAAGTAACCGCTGGCATTCGGTTGTGACCATTTGTAATGTCATATTTGGTTCTTGCTCAATGCGCGCCAACATTCTGGTACAGACATCTGCATCTTCTTCATTCTTTAGACCGCATATGAAAATCAAGCATTTAAACTGGTCCGCTGTGATTTCGTTTATTTTGAAGCGTTCACACTGTCGATTTACCTTCCCGGCATACGTGAGATAATCGTCCTCTGGAGATTTTGTTATTTGGAAACATTTATAGCGAGTATTAAATAATGAGGACTGTTCATCAAAAATATCAGATAAAATCTGGACTGTATCTTTGAATGATATATCTCGTGGATTTTGCGGCAAGATAAAATTCACATATTTATTATATTCCTGTGTTCCCAGTCTTCTTAAGAGTAAGCGGACTTTTGCTGCGTCATCAAGATGCGAGCATTCAACGCGGAAAATATCTTCACAACGGTGAAACCACGAACTGAAAATGATATTAGCTTCAGGATCATACTGGAATTCAGAAATAGAATTTATGATGCTTTCATGCTTATCTGATTGACAAGCTGAAGACGACTGTAATGAGAAAATTTGGGCCAATGCATCCAAAAGCTTCATTTGATTTGCATCATTTTGTGCTTGCTGCATTTGAAGAATAGTTTTAAGGTCATCCAATGAAACAGGCATTTTGTACTGGATCAATCAATAGGAAAGAAAAAAAAAATTCTCCGTCGCCAGTTGTTATGACCTTGGATGGCTTTTACCCCGTGATACTTGTTATGACTTGACCTTGACGCGCTAGGCTGAGTGGCTTAACCTTGAGTCTAATACGCGTGAGTTCGATTGGGGTAGAGAGAACTATTCTAAATCCTGATTGGTTGGCAAGCACGCGAGTGAAAGAAGACAAGACAGTTGGAACACTAAACTCTGGATTCTCTGAATTCAGATTACTACAAAAATGTACATGAATAAATAAGTGCATATCTTGACCACGACGTAGGATAATTTGGAAAAATACAGTTATGCCCGAAACAGGGAATTAGGGTAGAAAATATAGTGCAAAATATAGTGTTTAAATTACAATATTTTTGGAACAAAAAAGGGTATGCTAATGAATGATACATAGAACGAAAGCTCGTGTTATGTAGAATAAGATAGGGACAAAAATAAATATAAGTGTTTTACAGGTTTTGAATGAAATGCAATAACGTCCCAAGAAAATAGCTTTCGTAATTGTCTGGGCTTCTTAATTCCCCGTTCATAACAGTCTGGCTCTGTGTGGCTCGGTCCAGTGGGGTCTATGTAGCTTTATGTGGGAATATTATGTAGCCTTTAACCAATTTGTTGAATGCCACGGATTTGTAAATCCCTCATCAGTTTCGTTTCTCTCTCCCAGTCCATATCGTTTCATGATATCTTCATACCTGGCGTCGTCCATTCCGACTTTGGCATTTGAGCCCCTCTCAGGGTAGTAAAGTCGTTTCCTGAGCACTTCGTTAAGATTCATTTCAGCTTCTTGTATAATTGATCATTATCATCATCATCGTCATTCCTATAATTAAGGAGCAGCGCATAACACTGGATTATATTAACAGTTATTCTATTCTTCTTTGTTTTGAAGGATGCCTTGAAAGTTCTGGATCCATGAGATTCTTGCGGTAAATAACCCCCCCCCAAAATAGCTCTGTAAGTTTTTGACACTGGTTTTGATGGACTCACCTAGTTGAAGACGCCTGTTCATGTATCTGCACCAGATCACGAGTGGAAACGCTGTGCTCAACAACCCCTGCAATCGCTAGCTAGATTAGACCAGACGATCCTCGATATATTGATGGCCTATCAAATACATCTTTGAATCTCCCTGCTTCTGTCTTTTGATGTAACTTGGTGGGTTTGCTCCATATTAGGTGTAACTGGTTAAAGCGTCGTCAAACTCCGAATACCTGAGGCTTTTTCAAGATTCCTGCCCAATAAGTGCATTTAGTGCTTGTTTGTAGAACAACAGAGCAACTCCTCGGGTGTGCGGAGCATTTCTTTGTTTAGGACGAGAGCATAACAGTATCAGTCCAACTCAATGATCTCGAGAAACGCCGGATTGTACCTCCGCGATTCTGTTGATAGTTTTCTGGTACTCCCGGTCTCCTACATTTTCCGGACGTTCCATATACCCATAAAAATCGTTGCCCTGGTTATTAGAAGAGGCTTCGGTCTCGTGACTTCAGAAGAATTTCATCTTTCATCAAGAGGCGTCATTATTCAACTCCCAAGGCAGCGTTTAAATTGTTTAATTTTCTATTCCTGTTAGCGCTTGTTTCGGGAAATTTTTTTTCTACGAGATGAGGTTACTTAGCGAGTGCTCAACCTCCGTCTTTCCTTTACCGTGCTTGGGCCCGAAAGTAGCCCTACAAGAACTACAGGTGAAGTTTGAAAGAGATACGGTTGCTGAAATTTTGAATAAACCCATTTTGAAGTATTTAAATAGAAAGTTCTGTTCAGCATTATTTCACATTGTTATTTCAAACTGATCTTCTGTTCACGGAGGTCTTAAGGGTAATCTTCCACCTTGAGGCACATCAATATGCACCTAGAGATTTACTGTCTATCGTGGGTTAGTTTACATTGGCTGCAGAAAGCGATCAGTTTCTAAACGCATCTGAGCACGCAACGCGGTGAGGACTTCAAAGTAAGAGTGCATAACACTTATCAGTTCAATATGTGGGCATCTAATAAACTCTGATCACGTCGCTCTGAAAGATTCTACTTTAAAATAATCCACATAGCCAAAGGAACCGGATCAGTAATGTTCAAATCATGACATATGCACTGTTGAGACATTGGAGATCCACGAATTCAAGTCTGGGCTCTGCATGCAAAAACGATGCGTCAAAACTCTTATCCTTTCTTGGCACTAAGTCTTTTCAATAGTACGTTTTTTTATATTTTTCTTTTAAAATTATTGACTAGTAAATTTTAAATCGTAATCATTTATTATCATCCCTTAACAGTTTTCTATGAATATTATTGTAATCATTTTGACCCCTAGGTTTTTCGTTTCTCTTCCTATCTGTGAAGTGGACAGTTATCTGTCGTAATTCTGACCTATAAATTCTCTTCATCCACATGTCCTCAAATCCCCTGATTATAACATAACCTAATTTAATTTTTAGTTTCGAATCAGTTCATGATGCATCTATAACTGATACGACTATAAATACGAATGTACAGCTCAAGCAAGTGGTTGGACTGAAAAGAATTTTTTCGTCGAATCCTTTTGATTTGATTTCGACATATTATATATTGTACACTGAAGGTTTCGTTTTCGGCGGAGAGCGTTTTATAATTTGAGACTTAACATTTCAAGGTGATCTACTTGCAGATGCACTACATTCGCTGAAAGCGCCGAAGAACGACAAGGTATCTAGTGTAATTTATAAGTTTTAAACTAGTGAGAATTATGCTCTCTTTAGAACAGTTTCTCGTTTTTGGTTTCACTGTCATCTGATTGGTGATCTGAATGTTATAACTTACTCTGTAACTAAATTTTTAACAGATGGTTAAAAATATCTGAGTGAATAAAATGAAATTGGAATCCATGTTACTTGGACTTAGATGTACTTGGTTATCGCCTGTTCAATATAAAATCCCTAAAGTAATGTGTTGATATACGTACTGTTGTGTCTCACTTTAGTGTAAATTACATGACTCTACTTGGTCCAAAGCAATAATGTTCAGCCTATATATTAATGGCTGGTTGGGTCTTTGGTATATTCGGAATTTGGTTTGCAAACTCAGTATTCAAGTTCGTTTTTACACAATCAATGAATTTTTTGTTTAAGAATTATGTATAACCACAGACAATTTGGTTATTGCTCCTGAAATAATTAAAAGAAAATAGAAAGCGATTTTTCTTGATTTTGGCAACGTTTCGTCTCCACCTACTGAACGTCTTCCCTCATTCTTTGTATGTTTGACACCATAAAATTGTTGACTGGCTTTCCCTTATGTTACTATTAAAGGCCTCGTAGCGTAATGTAAACACTAAGAAAGAGACATTTATTTGTGGACAACCTTTGAGTGACACCAAAGTGACCTTTAGAATGTCCACCTACTAACTAGGACTAAATGATGGATATAAATCAGTGTGAGGAATAAGAATTATGATTTTTGAAATTGATGGTTAGAGTTAAGAATTGGATTTAGGATTTTTATCGATGATGACATCAGTCAGTATGCAAAAAAATGCTTTTAAGCGGAATGGATGAATGAATTTCGCTCTAAAACTTTGGGCGTGTTATCCTAAATCTGATTGGTTCGTCCATAATTTATAGTCGCGCCGGTAATTTTTTTGTAAAAGTGTTTCACTCGTACGTTGTAATCAAATAGTTTAACACCGATTTATTTGTGATCCTCATATGCCTTACGTTAGTGTCTGGTAACACTGAGGCAGAGTTATGGATTATTCGTTTAGATTTCGTTAACTTGCACCATTTTAGTATGGGTTAGCAATCAGATTGCTCACTATAAATCCGAAAGATTACTCAAAAATTCATATTCTACCACTTAGCTGCTTTCATATTGCCTTATACTATAAGCTTCACATGTATAGTACAAATGTTCTACCAGAGTTACATTATAAACCTAGTCAGTTTGAAGCAATGTACACTGGCAAAAGTTTCCATAATCCATACTACAGCCTCTACATTTTAAACCAACCTACCCTTCTCGACTTGTTCTTTAAGTAATTCAAGCTTACTAATGCTCCTTTCTAACTTTCTTGTGACACGACAGTCGGTAAATTTATGGTTTAATATTGACTGATCGTCATTTAATCATGTTGATTTTCACTTTTAGGTAATCATATTGTTTGCCTTTACGTTTCATGATATTAAATGAACAAAACTCAAGAAAGGTATCATTCATTGTTGAAAATAATTATCCTTTGGATTTTATTTTCGTATAGTGTCATTTTTGGACTTCACTTTTCTATCCAGTTTATCAAATATCTTGGTAGACAATTAAAAAGAGAATTTCTTACCCCACTAATTTTTTTGCTCCTACTAATAATTGTTACTGGTCTTTGTAAGTGTAGAAAGAAACAAAAATAACAATAATCAACTTGTTTTCGACAGATGAATATTCTGCTTATCAAATCGGATTGATATCCTCCAACTTTTTTGAAGCTTTGACTACCAAAAATTATGACAGATTTATATGGACTTTAAAATTATCAATAATGTATATATTTTGTGGCTCTTTGGTAAGTTATATCTAGCGCTGTTATACTGATTATTATGATTTTGTTTTACATAGCACTCACTATAGTGATTGAAACATCACAGAATTAGTCAACATAGTATTTGATGCAATAGTGCTTCAAGTTTACTTGGTACAACGTACAATATCGTGGTTTGAGAATTGGCTTAAAGGATAAAAGTGACGTGGAAAGTGACATAGGTAACTTAGTAATACTGTCTTTTGCAGTAGGGCTAGATAAAATCGATTTACCTATTAAAGCGGTTTATAAACTTTGACGACAATTCTGCCATTGTGATAAATATTAATATAAGTACAAATGTCCACAACGACCTTTTCTATTGACCGACACCCAAAATCGAAATCGAATACCACTCTAAATGTATAGGTTAGTACTCAGTAGATTGGAGATATGATTATCAAGATTTAGTAAATAACTAACGAGTATAGTTTTGAGACGGGTCAATTTTTAACCATTTTGCTTCTCAATATCAAACTATTAATTAACGAATGCATGATTTTCTACAGAGCTCGAATTGTTAATATGAATAACATTGTCTTGTTAATTTAAAGCCTTATCTACGTTAACTCTTCCGTCAAAGCATGGTTGACAATGTGCAGGATTATAAACGTGTTGACCTATTCTTAATTTGGAAGTTATTTCGTGCTTGATTGAAGTGTTGAAATTGTTAGTTATCGAATACTCACAGGTTTCTCACTTTTGCCTTCACATTTTACATCGTCTTAAAAACCTGGACATAGTTTGCTTGACATAAGATATTGCTAAAACAGATACCCGTTATTTCTCGGTCTGATAAATTAATTACTAAGTCAACTTTTCTACTTTTCACGGTGATCATTGCTGACATTGATTTTTAAAAATTTGCGTTTTTTTTCTCCATTTAGGCTCTAGGTGTACAAAATATGGTTGTGGGACAATTATCGTTAATATTACGTGAAATTTTAACCAAGAATTTACAAAGTCTATATTTTAAACGAAAAAATTACTATGTTGTAAATACTCTTACTGATTTAGACAACCCGTAAGTTTGTGTCTTACCCTCTCGTTGTTTTTAACTTGATTGATCATTAAAATATTTTCTTGTAGTGATCAACGTCTTACTCAAGATATCAATTTAGCTTGTGACCTGCTGACCAATATAATTGTATCAATAACTGTGAATCCAACATTAGTCGTATTCTATACATATCTATGTGTACAAAAGTAATGTATTTTGATTTCCCAGTTAATATGTTTTATTCCAGAGCTGGTTGGTTAGGTCCAGTCTCAGCTTACATCCTATTCATTATATTTGCAATAATTTCGCGATTCCTCGCCTCTTGGAGTTCTCGTGCTTCATTTGAACGTCAGAAACAAGAAGGCAATTTTAGGTAATTGTTAATTTTAAGTATCCTTTCTTTTTTATTTAGTATTTAAAAGTTGTTTTCAAAGTTTATCTGAAGTTTCCATTATAATTTAGCGGAAATAACAATGGATATATGACCTTCTAAGTTAATAAATCTTATATTGACCAGATAAGCATAACAATTAACTTTCAATTTATCAAGAGAATAATTTATTCGGAATGCATATCAGCCCCTCTAAATGCAAATAGTTGCTTCACTACTGGCCTGTGTCAACACCTGAACTAAGGATAAGGGGTGAAGTAGTCAAACGCGTCGACTATTTCACTTAGCTTAGAAGTCTCGTCAGCCCTAATCGGTTGTTCTATGACAAAATCTCTGCTCATTTGGCTTTTGTTAACTTACGTAACCTATGGCGAAGGCGAAATATCCGTCTATCAATTAATGAACGGATGTACTGCATGCCAGTTCACTCTGTTCTAATTTACGGCTGTGAAACGTGGCCATTAAGAGTTGAAGATACTCGTAAGCTACTAGTATTTGACCACAAATGCCTTGGAAATATTTCTGGCATCTGCTGGGATCACCGGGTAAGTAATAGTGAGGTTAGACACAGGGTATTAGAGAATAATGGTAAATTGACTGAGATGGTTGGGCCACGTGTTTCATATGCCTGAACACTGATTACCACGACGTGCAATGCTGACTGATGTTAGTGATTGTTGAAGGTTAGGGGCGGCCAAACCAAAACGTGGCACTGGTGCATGTAGTCACTAATCTCTGGTTTGAGCCATGTTGGCAGATGCAGACTAGTTGGTTGGGATCTGTGGGGCTTTCGTAACCAGTGATTGGAGATTCTCGTTGACATGAATGAGAACCGATCACAATGGCGTAGGTGTATGCACACTATGTCTTTCCTTTCATTGTGAGATTAAAGTTACTTTGTAACTTTCCTTCTACGAATTCTCTGTATTATATTCTTATATGCACTCTTTTTTTTACATATTACTATAACTGTGGTAACTACTTGTAAGAATTCGGTGTTCATCTTAATGTAGTAACAAGGTACAGCAACTTAGACCAATGCATATATGTGCCTGGTCCTAAGTTGTAGCTGACTGACTAAATTTGTTCCCTTAATTTTGTCGGGAATTTCCTGCTTTATTATATCAGTGTGGAGCGCATATGCATTTCCTTTTTTGTTTTTCACCAAGTCTTGACTACATTTTCGTTTCCTGTTCATTTATTTTCTAGTTTTTGTTAATGTCATTTAAGTTTCTTTCAACATAATAATTTTTTCAGTTCCTTATTATTATTTTCGCTTCATTATTCAAACTAAAATCAAGATAATATAGCACTAGGTTGTAGATTTATGTAGTAAGTGAATGCTTACTGTAATCAATGCATCTCATAAGAAGTCGCTATTTCACCAAATTTGCATAGCAACAGTATGATATAAAATAATAATAATAACGATTATCTACCAAGTTGTATAGAACATTTGAATAATTATTCTCAATCACTTGTAATGTACATAGTAGAGTTACACATTATCGTCAATTTATATCCTATTGTACTGTTTGACGGTCCTAAATATAGACTTACTATAATACTTTATCAAATTTCTTATTACTGATAACTAAAGCGAAATCAGAAGTCATTACTCAGTTGAGTAAAACTCGTAAGAAATGACATATTTACCAGTCAGAAGTAATTATTTGACGAGGGGACTTTAAAACATATCTTTAAAACTACAGATGAGCTAAGGACATTGAACATAATCGTGTAAATTTGTACAATGTAAACATAAATTACATTAGAACTTCCTTGAACGTGAAATTCATAAAGCGTTTTTCTTTAAACTAAAAGCAATAGCTAGTGATCTGGGCATATACTATTCTTGATGTTGGATTTAAAAATAAGTAGTATACACAAGACTCAGGAACTCCGCAAGACTGTCTTAAATCTAAGGCTGGATTTCAACAGTCATATTTTTCTCTGAATTTCTATGAAAAAGCTAATTCAGTCGATCTTTTTTTACTCATTGGGATGTAACAAAAAATATATTTATTATCAGTCGATTGTTTTTGAAAAAGGCAATAACTGGAGTGGATGAGTTATATGATGTGCATGTCAAGATTCTACATCGAGGAACTATTCTGGCTTATACTGAATTGTTTTAAAAAATAAACTAACTGTGGCCATACGAGTACATGGTTCATGAAATTATTTAATTATGTACGAAGGTCTACATGCAAACACCTATCAGTGTTACAAAAAGTGATTAACTCCAGAACCTGGAAGATGTGTTTAAAAGTCATTCACACTGGCATGAATTAAACCACTTTCTATCTAGTGGACTTGAAAATTTTTGTTATGTATCACTTATTTCCGTTTTTTATCATCTCTCTCTATCCCTATCCTTCATGTCTCGTTTTGTTATCTTTTCGATTTTGTTAAATCTCTATTCTTCTGCAGCAGTTATTAAATAGAATCTCGTATAGACTTTTGTTCAATCCTCTACATTGACATACTCCAATGCAGTTATTTGTTGGTAGATTCCAGTTCTAGATGAAAGCTATTGTCGCATTTACCGGTTTCTCAGATTATTGATTAGGACCTGATTACTCGTTGTTCCATTTTTTGTTTGCTTAAAGCCGTTTTTGTAAATCGAAATGAAGCAAAATATATTATAAATTTCGCCACGTTTTTTCTCGGGTTTTTCTCCTTTCTCTTTTTGTAATTTACTGTCAGTTGTTTCTTCACTTTTTATTTTCAGGTTTGTTCATACAAAACTAAGATGCTCAGTCGAAAGTGCTGCATTTCTTGATTTGAGTGAATCATTAAATGCCATTTCAACGAATTCATTCAATCGGTTATTTCATGCTGTACGAGTTTTTATTAATCGTAATGCTGTAGTATTTTGTAAGTTATATATATGTATGCATTCATCACTTCTGTAAGCTAGGCAGTTTGATCTTGAAGTTTTTATTGTCTATCTAGGCAACAGTTTTTGATATAACTAACTGTTTATTTTATCGACCTTGAGTTCACTTGAATGCTGTTAATGCTTGTCCTTTCATTATATAGATATTTATTTTCATTTTTTTAATCCTTTGACCTGAATCTCGCTGATGTATCTGAGGATGAAATTATGAATTATTAAAAAACTGAACAGATTGCAATAAAAATTACATTGGACAAATTGGCATACCTTCCTTATCTCCATCTCAATGAACTCCGATTAGCTGTAAAACACCACAAAGTATCCTGAATCCTCCTTGTCTCTTTATTTTCTCTTTCCAAATTTATTTCACTGGATTATACTCTTTAAATAACATCTTCAAACTCTAATCTTTCCGATTACTGCTTATACTCTTACCACCTCTATCACTACGGGATTTGAGTCGACCACTGCATCTCTGTGCTAACGTGGTGTGGCAACTCGAACTAATGTACGTACGTACAAAGTTCTACGTTGTTACTGACTGACTGACCACAAAGTATCCGTTTATATCAATACACAATCAATTCTAGGCGCATGTTCGACTAAGAAGGTATTGAAATCTTGGATAGAGAGACCTGGGGATTTTTAGAGGTTTGGCACCGTGTATATCAGCAACCAGTAGACTTATCGAAATCGGTCCAGTTTATCAATTAATCCAAAAAACCCATAAGTAATAAAACGGTTAAGAGTCAGGCAGTAAGGGTAAAGACAATGAAAATAAACATTCAGATAATAACCCGACATCTGTTGACAACAAACAAACATCTTCAGGGTGGACAAATATGCTGTTCGTTATATGTAGAAAATTTTGAATAGTGCACTTCTATCTGGAGTTTATGCTGGCGATGAATACTTGACGATTAAAATATCCAGCTTTGAGAACCCAGTTTTAACGAAATGTGAGCGATATGCTCACCAGGCCGGTTGGCTGAACTTTATAAGCATAAGCATTGGTTTAATAAAATTCAGTTTAAAATGATAAACAGAAAGTATGTAGCGTCTTGTTTCATTTGTGTAGCATCCCTGCAAATTCCTATAATATCTGTTTTGAACATAGAATTGTCTTCAACTATTGTTTTAGCCAGTAAACCAAACTAATAAATTAGAAAGACTGTAATTGGTGCTTTGTGTTTTGTTGAAATATAATAAATATACGAATCAGATACTATAAGCTAAGTAATTTCCAGTCCTAGTTTTTCGTTGTTAATCTGAGATTATCAATTTAGTTCCGCAGTATTATATGGTAATGAAGCTATGTAGTTTCAAAGTTCTTAAAAACACTTCTTCTAGACTGAAGCGGAGTTTCTTGTTGAATTCTTTAAACAAATTCACCAAAGAATATGTTGCGCATATTTGTTTTTCTATGCTATCTGTTGTTGTTTATATTCATATTTCTGACCAGATGTAACACAACTTAATGCATATTGTGGTGGTGTAGTAAATTATGTCGCTCTTGGAATCATTCTGTTCAATGGTCCAATTCGAACAATGTCAGCATCTGAAATCACTGTTCTTATTAGTCAGGTAAATATGCATCAAATAATCCGTTATGTGTATACAAATTTTAGTTTTCGTTGTTGCTGATGCTGCTACTTGAACTTTTTTCTTGACAATCCACATCTTGTAAATTCTAACAGTTAATCCCCTGTTGATTTTACTGTGTGGTATCATTGAATTTGTCTGTTATTTGGTTTATGGCTATGGTTAGTTGAGTGTGTTATCTATATATGTATGTATAGACAAGGTAGATAAATGTTCTTACCTTACTATCACGCCTCTGTATTATCGAATGATAAGTTTTGTTGAATTCAGTTCGTTCGAAAGTGGGGAACGTAAACAGGTAATAGTATCACGGGTTCGCAAAATCCAGTAAATAAAAATAACAACGACGATTGTCTTATTATCTAGTTCTTAATGCTAATCGAACTCTATTTGATCACCTTTGCAATGTGGCCATTAAGCTGAATGAATCGGCATTTCTGTGTCCTTTGTCTGATATTCGATATTTGCAGGCAATTGGTAAAATAATCCGGAATATTGGTTTCTTACTAATTGGGGACCACAATATTTAGGTGGTAAAGTTGTCTTTGACCTCCACACTAGACGATTCAAACTCGAATCTCCAGAAAGTTATCATCAATTCTTGTTAATGAGTGCCAACCACCACGAAACGGACCTAGTAGTCCATTTCCTCAGTAACCATCTGACAGAAAAGGAAACAAACCAGGATAGTAATTTTGCGCTACACAATTCAAGCACTTAATTCAATTTTTTAGTACGTTCTTGGGGAAGAAAGTTTAATTTTGAAATTAATGATCTATTTTGGTGGAATTCCGAAGTCTTCATTAATCATGAAGCCAAGTTACTAAAAGGTCCATATGATAATTTAAACACTTCCAATGATATATTGATTATTGTTGACTGATTGGTGGATTAAAAAACCTTTGTTCCTGATTTCTCTGTCTAGTTGGTGTGCCGTAAATTTCATAGTCTATATGTGGTGGATAAATTCCATAGATAGATCAAAGAGAAACGCAAAAAATTAATCTAATATTGTTAAGTATTTCTAAAGACTAAGTATTTAGGTTGAAATTCAACAAATATTTAGTTATTTATCTAGATCTCGAGTTCGGGAACAAAACGCTAATTTATGGACTCAATCACGTAATTATTGAGGCGGTAACTCAAAAATGTCATTACTGTATAAAAAGTCAATTGAAGTTGGAATTTTGCACCATTAAGTTTCAGTTCAGTCATACCGTGTTTACCTGGACATATGTCCTGGATTTAACCCTGTTTACTGGGTGCACATTGTTTATGAGTTTTAAATCTAAATAAGATTGCAACTTAGTGACTTTTCCTTCATTTTAAAATTATTTCTCAATGAATATTACTTCGATTTTTGGTGGCTCAGTTGTTACGATACTCAAATTACAACTACTAAGCCACAGTTTGAAATCAGCCTCTACCTATTTCAGTTTAGACAGTCGAGTATTAATACTAGCCCTTATAATTGAAGAATGGCTCAAAGTTAAAGATGCAAAGATTTGTACCTATCAACTGAGTATTGAAGATGTTTGCTGCAAAATTATGAATGCAGTTCACATTAAAATCTATTCTATTATGTGGTTTGATGTAATTGGGAGAAGAACCTAAACTTATATTTTGTCCATATCTACACTAGTCATGCTACTTATTGTCTAAAAATAATGATTATTTTTGTGTTATAATTTTTTTCCTATGAAAATAAATATTAAAGTAGTATCTTTTTGTTCTTTTCCTTATCTCCTCAAACAAACACAAATAATTCTAGACTAGTTTCTTTCTTCTGTATTTAATTAATAAATTAACAAATTTAATTAATTTATCTACTGATATTGCTCAATTAGTTGGTGTTGGACATCGGTATGTAAAATAAATATTTATGATTTTGATCAATTTCAAAGTGTCATGTTGAAATTAACACTCAGTTTTTACAAATGTTTATTTGTTAGACAAGAATTAGGTCTGCTAGTCGGGTCTTAATTACATTGACATTTAAGTGCTGTGGAAAATTTAAATCATCTTTCAGAAGTTTTTGTTCCAGTTAACTTCTCAGTCTGTCATACACAACGTAAAACCTGGAACATATGTACGTCGGTTCAAATTACCATACCCTACTAGCTTAGCGCCCGACCGTTGTTGCTACCTTGACGTGGTGGTCGGGCTTGCCTATCGTGATGAACCAAACGAGCTACACTGGCTGGAACAACTGTTCCTCAAGGTCCTACCATACCAGACAGGTCGGTTGAAGAGCGGTAAGACTAAAAGCAATAAACCAAAGGTCCGAAGGCAAAATCGTACTGCTGACTGTACAGAGGTGTGACAACAGTAAGGTGTTTTCTTCAGACAACCAGCATAACAGCGATGCTGCCTTCCCGCAAGGAAGAGTGGGGTTAGAAAAGGTCGACTCTAAAACTGCACACCCCACCTTATCCCACGGATATCCGTCTCCGACAGTAAGTTTCCAATACTTACGGAGCTAACACGAAAATTACCCACAAATGGTCGTGTGTGACTGACCTCAATCAGATGTCCTTCGGGCACTGCGGTCGTGCTCTCAGGTCACTAAGACTACCTCTAATCCGATTTCCTTTTCAGGCACCTCTAGAAGAACCCTTCCACGGTGTGGGCGACCAGGAAGTGATAACCGCCCTCATACCTCTAACAGCACATCTGACTGACTGACTAGATTAACGAAATGAAATTTCCAAGGGAGATCCCATAGTAGTTGATTTAGTAAAAGTATTAGTGACAATACATGTCTTAATCGTTTCAGTCGATAAGGATTGAATACCTCGTCAATAAATTTGCCATCCTTACCTAATACCCTGTCTAATCTCAGAATTGGTAACTCGATGGTCCTAAAATGTCCAAACAATCCCTCGAAGATACCTACAACCGAATACTAGCTGTCTACGTATATTCTCTTTCATTACGGACTATGTTCCACAGCCATAAAATATAATGGAGCGAACTGCTGCATTGTAAACTCATCCTTTCGTTAGTAAACTTATATCTCGCCTATGCCATAAGTGATCCCAGTTAGTCAAGACCAACCGAGCTTTGTGAATCCATGCTGAGATTTTGTCAGACACTAACCCACAAAGGCTGATGAGACTTCTAAGATAAGTAGTTGACATGCCCAACTATAATCCCTATCATTAGTTCAGTCGTTGATGTAAACCAGTTCTGAAGCAACAGTTTTGCACCTGGATGGATATAAACACGTCACAAAAGCTCTAGCATTTTTTCTTGAGGCGTTTGAAAGCCTACTTTTTTTCAGTGTCTTCATGAAACAGGACTATGTCATTTGTGTATTCTATGTCAATATGAAAATCTCCTGATTGAAGATCGATTCCTGAAAATTCAGACGTTGTGAGGTATCTCTGCAAGCATGTCGTTGAAAAAGTTAACTAAAAATGAGGAAAGTGGACAACCCTGACTAGCAATGTTTGAAATTATTGATCTCGAAGGCAGTTCACCACAAGCTGTGACTTGACGAAATTATGTGTATGCACTCTTTATTGGATTCATAGTCTCTATTTAGGTTGTAAAATAAAATCTCTAGTACTCTTTACCCTCTAATCAGAACTCTTTAATCAACAACAATTTGTGATGGTGACCATTTTTAAACTTTGGAAATATCTACGGTTTAAAACACTTTAATAAATGAAATGAAAATTTTATTATTATCAGAAAGGGTTTTGTGGAGATTTTAGAAATTTCACAGATTGAAATCATGAGTCAGTTGAAGCTAGACCACCATTGAAAACCTGGAAGCACTGGACGGCCGTTTCGTCCTAGTATTGGACTCCTCAGCAGTGCGCATCCACGACCCCGCACCACCCGGGGCTCGAACCCAGGACCTACTGGCTTCGCGCGCGAGCACTTAACCATTAGACCACTGAGCCGGCATCCAACGGTGTTAATGTCTAACTTCAACCAATCCACGAAGTTGCGCTACCGTACACCATTGTCTTCAGTGAGTTCCTATCTCACAACAGACCTGGTTGAACTCCACTGGTAACGACTTCTCACTAGAACTCCAGAAGTGTCTCCTGAAGTCAGTCACTAGTGAGCAGTTGATTATTATTATCAGAAAGGGTTTTGTGGAGATTTTAGAAATTTCACAGATTGAAATCATGAGTCAGTTGAAGCTAGACCACCATTGAAAACCTGGAAGCACTGGACGGCCGTTTCGTCCTAGTATGGGACTCCTCAGCAGTGCGCATCCACGACCCCGCACCACCCGGGGCTCGAACCCAGGACCTACTGGCTTCGCGCGCGAGCACTTAACCATTAGACCACTGAGCCGGCATCCAACGGTGTTAATGTCTAACTTCAACCAATCCACGAAGTTGCGCTACCGTACACCATTGTCTTCAGTGAGTTCCTATCTCACAACAGACCTGGTTGAACTCCACTGGTAACGACTTCTCACTAGAACTCCAGAAGTGTCTCCTGAAGTCAGTCACTAGTGAGCAGTTGATTATTATTATCAGAAAGGGTTTTGTGGAGATTTTAGAAATTTCACAGATTGAAATCATGAGTCAGTTGAAGCTAGACCACCATTGAAAACCTGGAAGCACTGGACGGCCGTTTCGTCCTAGTATGGGACTCCTCAGCAGTGCGCATCCACGACCCCGCACCACCCGGGGCTCGAACCCAGGACCTACTGGCTTCGCGCGCGAGCACTTAACCATTAGACCACTGAGCCGGCATCCAACGGTGTTAATGTCTAACTTCAACCAATCCACGAAGTTGCGCTACCGTACACCATTGTCTTCAGTGAGTTCCTATCTCACAACAGACCTGGTTGAACTCCACTGGTAACGACTTCTCACTAGAACTCCAGAAGTGTCTCCTGAAGTCAGTCACTAGTGAGCAGTTGATTATTATTATCAGAAAGGGTTTTGTGGAGATTTTAGAAATTTCACAGATTGAAATCATGAGTCAGTTGAAGCTAGACCACCATTGAAAACCTGGAAGCACTGGACGGCCGTTTCGTCCTAGTATGGGACTCCTCAGCAGTGCGCATCCACGACCCCGCACCACCCGGGGCTCGAACCCAGGACCTACTGGCTTCGCGCGCGAGCACTTAACCATTAGACCACTGAGCCGGCATCCAACGGTGTTAATGTCTAACTTCAACCAATCCACGAAGTTGCGCTACCGTACACCATTGTCTTCAGTGAGTTCCTATCTCACAACAGACCTGGTTGAACTCCACTGGTAACGACTTCTCACTAGAACTCCAGAAGTGTCTCCTGAAGTCAGTCACTAGTGAGCAGTTGATTATTATTATCAGAAAGGGTTTTGTGGAGATTTTAGAAATTTCACAGATTGAAATCATGAGTCAGTTGAAGCTAGACCACCATTGAAAACCTGGAAGCACTGGACGGCCGTTTCGTCCTAGTATGGGACTCCTCAGCAGTGCGCATCCACGACCCCGCACCACCCGGGGCTCGAACCCAGGACCTACTGGCTTCGCGCGCGAGCACTTAACCATTAGACCACTGAGCCGGCATCCAACGGTGTTAATGTCTAACTTCAACCAATCCACGAAGTTGCGCTACCGTACACCATTGTCTTCAGTGAGTTCCTATCTCACAACAGACCTGGTTGAACTCCACTGGTAACGACTTCTCACTAGAACTCCAGAAGTGTCTCCTGAAGTCAGTCACTAGTGAGCAGTTGATTATTATTATCAGAAAGGGTTTTGTGGAGATTTTAGAAATTTCACAGATTGAAATCATGAGTCAGTTGAAGCTAGACCACCATTGAAAACCTGGAAGCACTGGACGGCCGTTTCGTCCTAGTATGGGACTCCTCAGCAGTGCGCATCCACGACCCCGCACCACCCGGGGCTCGAACCCAGGACCTACTGGCTTCGCGCGCGAGCACTTAACCATTAGACCACTGAGCCGGCATCCAACGGTGTTAATGTCTAACTTCAACCAATCCACGAAGTTGCGCTACCGTACACCATTGTCTTCAGTGAGTTCCTATCTCACAACAGACCTGGTTGAACTCCACTGGTAACGACTTCTCACTAGAACTCCAGAAGTGTCTCCTGAAGTCAGTCACTAGTGAGCAGTTGATTATTATTATCAGAAAGGGTTTTGTGGAGATTTTAGAAATTTCACAGATTGAAATCATGAGTCAGTTGAAGCTAGACCACCATTGAAAACCTGGAAGCACTGGACGGCCGTTTCGTCCTAGTATGGGACTCCTCAGCAGTGCGCATCCACGACCCCGCACCACCCGGGGCTCGAACCCAGGACCTACTGGCTTCGCGCGCGAGCACTTAACCATTAGACCACTGAGCCGGCATCCAACGGTGTTAATGTCTAACTTCAACCAATCCACGAAGTTGCGCTACCGTACACCATTGTCTTCAGTGAGTTCCTATCTCACAACAGACCTGGTTGAACTCCACTGGTAACGACTTCTCACTAGAACTCCAGAAGTGTCTCCTGAAGTCAGTCACTAGTGAGCAGTTGATTATTATTATCAGAAAGGGTTTTGTGGAGATTTTAGAAATTTCACAGATTGAAATCATGAGTCAGTTGAAGCTAGACCACCATTGAAAACCTGGAAGCACTGGACGGCCGTTTCGTCCTAGTATGGGACTCCTCAGCAGTGCGCATCCACGACCCCGCACCACCCGGGGCTCGAACCCAGGACCTACTGGCTTCGCGCGCGAGCACTTAACCATTAGACCACTGAGCCGGCATCCAACGGTGTTAATGTCTAACTTCAACCAATCCACGAAGTTGCGCTACCGTACACCATTGTCTTCAGTGAGTTCCTATCTCACAACAGACCTGGTTGAACTCCACTGGTAACGACTTCTCACTAGAACTCCAGAAGTGTCTCCTGAAGTCCAGTGGTTCCAGGTTTTCAATGGTGGTCTAGCTTCAACTGACTCATGATTTCAATCTGTGAAAATTTTATTGTTTATTTCATGTTCCGTTGTATCTTACATCTATTTTTTAAACAATCAATTTCCAATAATTTTATGATTATTCATTTTCTCTTTCTTTTTACTCTTGTAAAATTAGCATTTTAAACTTGGACAAATATTTAAGAGAAATTAATTTATATGATACTCCAGCTGCTTATATCACATTTTATCAAACTCAATGGTTATTTATTAGATCAAAAATATTCAGGTATGATTCAAAGGGTGATAATTTCCTGTCCTCTTCTCTTTTTTTCGTTGATCAGTTTTATTAACAAGTTTTGTTTAATAAAAAGTATTCGTTGGTATATATTACCTTGTCTAATTACCAAGCATTTAGTTTCGTTGTCGCTAAACTCATCACCGCCTATTTTATGTAGAGATGTGTGAGCTGTTCAATTATTCCACAATCTTTTTTATTGAGATCATGAACCGATTGATGTTAGACCACCATTGAAGACCTGGGAACACTGGACGGCTGTTTCGTCCTATTGTGGGACTCCCCGGCAGTGCGCATCCACGACCCCGCTCGCGGGATTCGAACCCGAGGTCTTCAGCCTCGCGCGCGAACGCTTGACTTACTGGACCACTGAGCTGGCATCCAATGTTGTTGATGTCTAACCTCAACCAATCCACGGAATTGCGCGACCTTCTTCCATTGTACTGAGGTAGACACCTGTCTCTACCTGACACGGATTAGCTCCACTGGTCATGGATTCTGACTAGAACTCCGAGAATTCCCTCACAAAGCTAGTCATTTGTGAGCACATGATACTAATCAGTATAGGGGTTGTGGAGATCTCCATCAACCCGATTAAAGCTCCAGACATTCGCTTTTTGCCTTTCCATTTTCGTAAACAACATCCTCTCCGCGAGAAGGCAGTGAGTAGGACTTCCCTTGCGGTGACTGTATGCGCGTGACCATGCAAAAGGATTTCAAGCCGGAGAGCGGACTCCCCTCATCCTCGGCCATACCAACTAGGCGGGCAAATAGGAATAATAACGAGGCGGATTGCATGCATATAGCATTCAAACCTCTTTAAACCTAGGACACAGTATTAACGTCATTCACTATCCCATCGCCCCTGACAAGTCAGGCAACCCGAAAGTCAAGAGAATACTATCAGGGCATACGAAAGGCTCGGTACTCTCTAGATGGAATACTATGTATGCCCAGTGTCCAATTGAGTAATAAATATAACTAGTATTTATTTTAATATTTAAATTATTAGTTGATCAATAATTAGTTTATGCAACAAATGTATATGTATATAACTGAGCTACCCTATCCACAACCAACACAATGTATGACCGATATATCTACTTACACTAACTGATCAATCACTAATGTATGCTAACTGTCATGAAATTTAGATTCAGTGCATCCTAGCTTTTGCTTCAACACAACCAAACGTCAAAACAGTGCATAAAATAACATCGAATCACTTAGAATAGTGCCTTTCACTTTAACTTGATTAATAGAATTCATTCAATACTGAGGGTTATATCGATTACTTCTCATTGGTTAATCAATAATGTAAACCGACATAATCTGCGTATACAAAGTATCTCACTATTTTTTGGTTCATACATTTGGCTTCCGTTTATGTTGCATTGCGCCTAACTTTGGGATAATTAATATTGTATTGGTTGATAGTTAGTTCGACCGTCTTACAAAAGTATGGTCGAAGTTATGGGCAGTTTCTTTGTATGGTACTTCTTCAGTTTTTATACGGAACATGATATTCTTGATGGAAAGCATAATCTATCCGTACCGTAAAATTCTGTATAAGGTAATTAATCATGTTGAGTAGTTTCCCATTAATTTACGCTGGTATTTGAACCATTTTTGTTGTGTTCATTAGGGTATTTAATGCATTGTAAATACAACTTACACGATACAGTATATCATATTTTTTGCATCGTTTTATATGTAATTTAATTTAACACCATATCAATGGAGTAACTTAACACGCCATCGTAATATTCAACGACGAATTTCACATCTTGTGCAATTGCTTGTTATACAACCTGAATTCCTGATTCGAATTAGATGTACTTGGGCGGTGTTTGAAAATCAAATGCTTAGACCATCACAGTTAAATCTAAGATTATGTAATTTATTTTGAGGATATTTCTTTTTCACAAAACAATAAATTTGTTTTAAAAATTTCTATTTTCTTTTTCACATCCTAGCCCTATACACGATATCATTGACAGGGATAATAATTGTTTACTGGATGATATTGTTTTTCAAATCAATCATGTATCAATATGTATTCCATTGAATCCTAATAATGTTTTAATTCATGGTATGTTAATAATTTTGATTCTTTATTTTAATGTACTGGCACTCACGGTAGAATTTGACCAACACTAAGCAAGAATTGATATACAACATGGCATTGGCCATTATTCAGTGATCAGTCAATTAACGATAAACCTCAGTCCTATATGAAATCAAAAGCGGTTTAGATAGCTCAGTGGTAGCGTTTCTGACCGTAAAGCTAGGTGATATAGGATTGAACCTTTCAAAGGCCATCAGTTCTCTCAAGATTACAGGTACACCTCGTTGACAAGTGCCAAATAGCACGAAACCTAGGTTGACGATTTCCTGTCGACTACCTCTAACCACTGTTTTACTCATGGCAAATTCTCTTCACCTTAGCAAGAATGTTGATTAACGCCTGTAAATACTAGCGATAAAAGTATGGAAAACACATACACTATATGCAATGGATTGAAAACAACACCTAACATTTGATAGTTATTATTTTCGAGTTCAACGTGTGAATATATTTTGATGCAATCGATATTGTGAAAAAAAGATCTCTGTCTGAGTTTAGAAAAGAAAAGAGTAAATAAAAAAATTCGAACAGACTACTAAGTAAACGCAAACAACACACTTCTATCTCAGTTTCAGTTTCAGTTTGGAAAGGACATGAGGCTTGATGGCCTGTGTTGGTCCTGTCAATGGTGGTCTCTCAGTTGATCCAACTTCCTTTTGAAAGAATCGATGGATGGAGCCACAACCACGTGCTGAGGTAATGAATTCCACTCGTTGATGATTCGATGGAAAGTCGATAGTCAACTGACAAGTAATTTGTTCTGGGCTTATGAAAATTTTTGGACTGTCCTCGTAAATCCTCTGTTTTGGAAGATAAAAAATGAGGGCATATCTGGTGCAAATTCATCACCAAGTAATTTGATAGCTGTAATCAAGTCCCCTCTAGTTCTTCGATAAGACACCGGGAATAGGCTTAGCTTAGACAGTGGAGCGTTATACGGCGGCCTCGCTATTCCGGAAATCAGCTGAGTTGCACTTCATTGAACCCTTTCCAGAAGCTCACTATCTATTTTTAAGCAGATGCTAGCCGCTTGTATGTAGTACTCAAGTTCAGAACCCATTAATGCTGTATACAAAGTCAAAAAACGTTTTAGCATCGACATGACTGAAGGCCCTACGTATTGACCATGGGGTTTTAAAGCCTTTGACGGCTATTGCACGGCAGTGTGCAGTGGTCTTTAAGTCTTGGCTAACAATTAATTTTAAGTCATTGTGTGTCTGGACAACAGGTAGCTGAGTGTCATTCATCGTGTATGTATCTATACCTTCATGGCCGATATGCATCACAACACACTTGGAAGTATTTACCGGCAACTGCCAGGTTTGAGACCACGCAGATTATTTCTCCAGGTCATTTTGGAGTTCTAAGCTACCACCCTTACTTTGTATCGCTTTCCACATCGTGACATAGTCAGCATATAGCAAGACCGATGATGATAGTAGACGAGGAAGGTTGTTTACTTACAACAGGAATAACACTGGCCCCAAAACTGTACCATGGGGTACTCCACTGGGCACAGTTTCCCAGATAGATAACTTTGAGTTCACCCATACTCTTTGTTGGCGCCCAACTAGGAAGTTATTTATCCACATCAATAGACTGCCTCCAATTCCGACATTTCTCAGCTTATATAACAGTCGGTTGTGCGGAACTTTGTCAAAAGCTTTGCTGAAATCAATGTAGGCTATGTCTACAGGTAACTTTTGGTCCTTAATAGCGCACCAGCTTTCACGAGCGACTGAGTTATTTAGACAAGAATAACCTATTCTGAAACCATGCTGTTTCTCCGAAAGGATCCGGTTTTCATCGAGGTACTTAAACAGCTCCTTCCGAATAATCTTTTCTAAGTTTTTAACAACCACACTAGTTAGGCTAATGGGTCGATAATTCTAAGGTTTATGCTTCGTAACTGTTTTGAAGACAAGACTTACTATGGCGTTCTTCCAATCTTTTGGTAAACGACCCTGCGTTACGGATAGATTAAAGCGCATACTTAAAGGTTTCGCAACAAAGTTAGATAATTCCTTTAGTAGCCTAGGATGCAATTCATCGGGCCCCGTGAATTTACCTATGTCAAGCTTATTTAGCAGACCAAAGACATCAAGTTCCTTAATGGTCACGCTATCCAGTGTATGTGTGGGGGGATTTGTATGCGCTGACGGGAAGGGTGGTTCTATGGTATATAAATTGCTAAAGTAGTTTGAGAACACTTGAGCCTTACCAAAGTCGTCCTCCACTAATGATACGGAAGTATTTTTGTTATATTCCAATGAGTAGAAATGTGTATTTTCAACGTTTCATGACTTAATGTAGGCCTACTTATTGGGATATAGCAAAAGTATATTTATTATTAACTTTCTACCCAATACTCAATTTATTTGAAACTATCAAATTCAACCTTGGTATTATTACTTATAGTAATCTTAAGTAGTCGAAAACAATTAGTGATATATTAACGGGAACTCGAAAAAATAGGATAATCTGAAGTATACATGTCTAACAATTAGGTTTAATGTCGGCTACATATTATTCAGTATGATATCTCTTGAAAATGAATTGATTAATTTCAAAGATAGTTTTGATTGCAAAAATTTACCATCTTTATGGTAATCGGCAGTTATCAAAACTATTGAGAAAAGGGAAGAGTTAATGTTACATAAAATTGCTTTTCATTCTGAACTGAATGATTTTACGTGAAAACTTATCCTTATTACAAAAAAGATAACCAATATCGTCAAGATTATTGCTTTCTCACTCGTTAAGCGTACTACAAAGAAAATTACTTTTTACAACAGAACCTGCTGACGACAATACTAGACTAGAATAATAGTAAAGAGGTAAGCTTCGATAGTTGGTAAAAATAATGTACCTGATTAAGAACACAGGTAAATGAATGTGAGTCTGTTAAAATTGTCTATGAAATGAGTGAAAAGAGAGTCTCCAATTAGCGCCTAACATTTGTACAAGATTTAGCCAAAAGTGACTGTGAATGTGGGAAATAGTAATTGGTAGATTGGGCATAACTCAAGAATGGTAAATCGTATAATAATAGTTCATAAATCAAAATGAGGCTTATAATAGGAGGAACATGAATATGAATAGTCCAGTTATTTAACAATTATACGATAAATATATACGTATAGTTTTATTCTAGAAATAGATTCCAACAGTTACCATGCATTATTCTCATCAGGTTATAACAACCACTAGTACACCATACTTATTAACTTTTTTTTCTATTTCACTGTAGATGAACATTTTTTTTAATTTGTCTAAATTTTTTCTCCTTATAGACTTATGTTTAACTATTAAAAAGCATGAAGCCCTACTTATCACTGGTCCGAGCGGTGTTGGTAAAACTGCTTTATTTCGTGTTTTAGCTGGTCTATGGCCAGGTCTCATCTTAATGAATAATAATTCAGGGAATAATAATGCAACCAATTCATTATATCATTTCTATCAGTCGGATAATTTCCGAATTGTTTTTATTGCACAAGTATTATACATACCATCGATGACAATCCAATTAAATAATGAATTTTACAAGTTATTAACAAGTTTACATTGTTTCATGATGGCATCAAATTCATTAATATTATCGAATATCCGTAGAGAACTACATTTGTGTTATTTATTATTGAATATAGCATATTCTTTCGATAGTCAATCTACTGGTGGGCTTGATGCTAGAGCTACAACATTTGATATTGACAATTCTGAAGCAAGTAAGTAATTGCTTTTAATAGATTCTTGTTTTCTATTCATCCAATATAGTTCTCATATCAGTGTGATAATTGCTTAAAACTCATTAAAAATTGAGGACATTAGACAGTTGATTTTCCCGATTCAGAATTTCTCCACTGGATGGATAGCCGTAATCCTCCACCCACCCTTTATACAGGATTTATTCTAAGACTCTTTAGTCATAGACTTTCGAATCGAAATCTGGTGAATTGGGTTTCTAACTTTAATTAACTCGAAATACAACTCAATAATCTCCCAATATCACTTATTGACAGCTGACTCAGTTGAGATATGGCTAGCTACACAGGCTAAGATTTCCCAGAATAACTTCTGAATATTCAGTTCGTAATTGTTAACGTAGAATCTGTGTTCATTAGTGATTCTGAAGTTAGCTTGTAATGAACCCATAATGTTTATTGTTTATTAGTTGGATTATGGAGATTAGTTCAATTTCGATGATAAATCTTATCCTAGGTTGTTTAGAGGTATTTTAAAAAGCGAGGACTAAACACATGTCCAGTACATTCTGTCATAGTCTCGTAAACAATGTTTGAATTTTGTTAGACTTCCAATCTTCGAATAAGAAAAGATCTTATCAAGACTCACTTGGGAATATGCCTTAGTTTGGGCATAACGAGCAAAGTAGCTGAGTATGATGATCGGTTTATTTATATAATAAATCCCATCATCTGACAAATACACATACAGAAGACATCCAATTTTTGTCGGCTTATCCTTCGTTTTATATACAAGATGTTCACTTACGTATCTATCAAAAAGCGAGTATACTGTCCAGAAATTTTTGTGCCACTGGGTGACTATAAAATTAATTTTCAGCCGTAGACTTCTTTTAACCGTAATTATTTTATAGTATTTCTAGCATCTGATCCCTTTTACCAATTTGAATAAAACCAGAATAATATGAATGCCTTATATTTTGTGGTTTCGCATCAGTTGCTTAATGTTTATTTTGTTATTCTAACTAAATTCGTTATTATTTCATGTATTCCAGAACCACTCTTTCATTCATCGGCTTTTTCACTCAATTCTCTAAACTTACTCCCTTATCCCTTCCTTAGTTTGTGATTTCTATCTTCATATGACCTCACATATTTTCATGCATATATATGAGTCATACATTAACGCCGTGGGATATCGAATTAGTGGTCTAGAGGTTGTGTTCGCGCGAAATCGAAAGTTCTGGGTTCCAGCCCACTTGTGAGATCGTGGGTGCGCACTGCTGAGGAGTTCCATACTAGAATGGAATAGTCGTCCAGTGCTTTTAAGTTCTCAATGGCTGCCTAGCTTAGATTGACCAGTGATCTTAACTGTGGAAATACTACAATTTCCACAAATCCCCGAACAGCTATATATATACCTCAAAGTTACACTACAACACACCATTTATTTGTAAGCAGCTGATGAGAAATCAAGAAAAATATTAACTTCCTATTATCATCCCCTAATATAATATTTTTCTTCAAATTGCCGCTTGGTCAACCACGAAGTGATTAATGCTGAAATCTGAAGTATAGTTCTATGTGAAATGATCGATCAGTCAATGAAGTGCAGTATTAAGTCTTCCCACAATAATTCGGAAGATAACGAAAGGGTGAGTAGATTCGAAAGCAATAACTGGTTCAGTAAATTGACTATAGGTATCCATCAAATCTATGTAGCGTCGCAAAATCACCCCTATGTACCAAAATCAGACAGATCGTATTTGTGTATTTCAGAAATCAACATTAGAAATCTGAACCCCTTCAAAATCATTGTCACTCACAAACCATCACATTCACTTCAACTGAATGATAGACACAACAATGCAAAAAGATAAATCCAACACCACTTACAAAATAAATTTTACCAAGTGAGAGTGGCAGAACATTGGATAAATTGGACATCAAACTCACTTGATCGTACACACATTTCGACTTGTGATCAAACAATACGGTGATAAAAAATAGTCGTATTAATGCATTTAGACAACCACAGGTGCGAATTCAATTGAAAAAATGTCAAACCTGTGGAGTGAAGCGATTCTGTGTATATTGAGTAATTTTGAGGGTTGTGTAATTGAGATAAATATTTATAACCACTAGACATCTACCTAATTAGTCATTTCATGAATAAATGGTGTGAAGTGAATCTGAAAAGTTAGTGATGAATAGGAATGTTAAGACAAACATATTGATAAATACAGATAAACAAAGTGTCATCGAATTTAAGTAGTCACAAACATTATTATCAAATTTGGATTGATATAGTGCCATTAAATCTTCGTTTTTTATCCGATCAATATATATTTGTTATGTCTTCGGGATGAACGCCACTTGTTATATCTGGTCGCTGCTGTTTATTTTGTCGGAATTGTTTATTACTTACATTTGCAAAAACGAGGAACCACTGCAATTCTCACAATGCAAAATTAAGAACACACACACGACTACGACGGCGACGACGACTAGTCAAAAATACACTGACTTATATATTGATTGTACACCCATTTTGATTAATAATTAGGATGAAATCACATATATGAAAAATACTTAGACTCATAACAAATCACAGACTGAGCATAGTTCATGTCAATGGAATACAAGAATATCGTATGTTATGCAGAATAAAATATCGTACGAGAAAACAAAAATACTACACACAGTAATTATCACATTAAATCAAGACGGAAGTAATGTTGAACCAAAAATATTAGGAATTCAAATTTAAAATTGTTAAAGAAATGCATTCTCTAATTGTATATCTGTATTTTCATTATTTACTGGTTTATGTATAACTTTGTTATTCAGTTTGAAAACATCTTGTTTCATGATTAAATAGATGTACTTGTTGTTCGCCATGATAACTAAATGCTACATTTTAAGTTACTGATCGTATTTAAAGTTAATCAATTCACTAAGAATAATCTATGGACATAGAAGTTTATTATGCTTGTTTTCTACATTGGACTCAGTAGTCCATTGGATAATTCGTTGACCTTTGAAACAGAAAATGTAAACATCAATACAAGAATCCACGTATATCTGGCTAATTGTTCCTAAATAAAATGAAATCCGGGTTTCGAATTCAACTGTTAGACATTGTTTATCCAGTCCCATTCAAGATAAATTATTAGGGAGAGTTTATAGACTTATAGTCAATCAGTCAGTCAGCTACAACGTAGGACCAGGCGTATATATGCATCGGTCCAAGTTGCCTTACCGCATTAGCACAGTAAGATGAACAGCGGATTCATATACAAAAGAAAGATTGCATATAAGGATATAGTATAGGAAGAAAGAATTAGTTCGTAGAAAGAAAGATATGAAGCGGTTTTAATCTCTTAGTTTATGAGAAGACAGAGAGTGTATACACCTACGCCATTGTGATCGATTCTGAGCCATGTCACCAAGAGTCTCCAACCATCGGTTACGATAGTCACACTGAACCAAAACAAGTAGTCTGCATCTACAAATATGGCTCAGACTAGAGGTTAGTGACTTCAAGCACTGATGCCATGTTTTGGTTTGGCCGCCCCTAATTCTCTTCAAACCGTCCCCAACACTGGTTAGCATTGCATTCCGTGGTAAACAATGTTTAGGTATACGTAACACGTGGCCCAACCATCTCAATCGATGAAGATTCACAACCTCATCAACTGATTTACCATCATTCCTCAATACCATGTTTCTAACCTCATGATTATTTACCTGGTGATCCCAGAAGATGCGAGCAATATTTCTAAGGCATCTGTGGTCAAATACCAGTGGCTTACAAGTATCTTCAACTCTTCTTAATGACCATGTTTTGCAGCCATATAGTAAAACAGAACAAACTGCCAAGCAGTATACTCGTTGATGAATATGTTCAACTAAAGAACAATATTAATCAAATTATTTTTCGATTAATTTCTTTACAAAATGATTCACTCAAATTATAACATTGACTTACCTCTTGATGTATATAAATAAGGGTTTAACTTCTAGTCTCTCATTCTTTTTATTGTCTTCTATTTTATTTCATTTTAAAACTAGACTTAACTAGTTATAATTCTACAAGAAAACAAAATTCCAAATGTTCAATTTGTTATTATAGTCTGGATTCTTTCGAAAAAGCCTTAAGTTTACTCGTTGAATTTCGTCTTATCAAATTGGAACAATGTAATACATTAAAACAAATTCTTAAATTATATTATAACAATGAAAATAATAATGGTAATAATGCTATTATTGATGAAGGTATTTATTCTAAAAATCAATATCGAATTCCATTATTAACTGATATTTGTTATAATGGTTGTTCTGTTCGATCAGAGAAATCCGAGTATGAATTTGATTTGTAAGTTGATCGATATGAATGATCTGTTTGGGCATTTTTTTTTGTTCTGTGTACGAAAAAAATTATAAAATGTAGATTTTATTTACTTATATTGATAAAACATAGTCATTGATGATATGTGAATTATGGTTAATAGCTATGCAAGTTTTTTCATTTTAATGCATTAGTTTAACGTTATGTTATACGGTCGTACGAGTCTGATACTGATGTATAAGCTTAAAAATTTAAGCTCCTAATAGGTCTATTCTAGTGAAGAAAATAGGAGTGAATAGGAAGCATTTTTATTGGCTAGTGAAATCATGAATATAAGTACAACTCATCCATATATATATATATATATATATATATATATATATATATATCTTTCTCCTTTAGAAAATAAAAAAAGATTTCAAACAATTGCATTGCTCACAATTGATTGATCACTGGGTGGTGATCAATGTCATGCTTGTCTAGTCCTTATTAGTGCAGATCGAATGCTATCGATCATGTTGCAGTGTGGCCACCAGTCTAGGTGACTCGACACTGCGGGCACTATGTATTGAGATTTAGATGGCGGTTGGAGGTAGTCAACAGGAAATCCTGGACCCGGGTTTCGTGCTATTTGGCACTCGTCAGCAAGGTGTACCTGTAATCTTGAGGGAACTGGTGCTCCCTGGCGGATTCGATCTCGTGTCACCCAGCTTCACAGTCAGAGACGTTACCACTGAGCTATCCGAGCCGTGCTCTCCCTCGTTCCTAAGTAAATGTGAAGCCAAATCTTGGCCAGTAAGTGTCTCCATAAGCATCTTCCAGTTAACATTTGACTTGTCTGATAGGTAAAGCATATCTTTCAGTCAAATAGTAAGGATCAACCTAGTTAACTTCATCAAGAACTCCACAGTGGCCTACTATAGTAAGACAGGGATAGATTTTAGACTAAAAGTTATTTAGTAGCCACAGTTGCTAATTACGAATAACTAGTACTCAAATTTTAGAAAAATACATATATTCGTCAAACAATTAATACTGCTTATTGCATGTAACTACATAAACCTTCACAAAACCATTGCGAACTCATTCGTTCTTGAACCTAGGCAAGAGATTATTTCAACCTGGAACTTATTGCTTGAGGTTAGTTGTCATCGCAAACTAAGGGTAAATAGCAAATTCTACTTTAAGTATGCTTCTGCTTATGCTACTATAAACCTTTCTCAATTTTAATGGTTTGAGTATTTATTACACGTGCCTATTCACTGGGTGCTCTGATATTTTATCCTAGCTAATGTAGAAGCAGATTAGGAAAACTACCAGACTAAAACATGAAATCGCCTAATTAATTCATTGACTGTTGAAGTGAACCTTGTCTCAGGATGTAGACTGTTTCTACACTTCAGGCTGAACATGATCTATTGTTAAATATTATATTTGTCATAGTTTATAGTCGGTCGAGTTAGCGAAGATTTATTCATTTTTGATCATATCTTTAGGACTTAATGTATTATTCAATCCCTTCTTTTTATTATGTTGACTTTATTCTTTTTTGAACCATATTCTGGATCTTCAGTCTTCGTACTGTCATTATTATTATTGTTGTATCCATTCCCTTGCTGTTCATTTTGTTATTCTCGTTTTGAAGCTTACTTATTCGATACTCGGTTGCGCGCAATTGTTGTAACCAAACAGTTAAAGATGTTGAATGATCTACTGATTTAAAATCATTTGTAATGATGCAGATCCACTTATTGTTTGTCTTTACTTGGATCTTAAGTCTTAAATTATCCTATATTTATTATTTAGTACATTCTTTATTTCTTTTCGATTATCATTGTCTTTTTCCGTCTCTTTACTTCACTAATTTATCTTTTGTTGAATTGTATCTTTGATGTCTAATGTTTTCTAATACGACTGATACTGTCATTACTTGTACTATTCTGGGATTTCGCTTGGTAATTTTATTTGTGCTAAATAGGGTATAACAATTTGAACCGATGTGCATATCTAACAAGTTCTACTTTTTCTACTACCATTGATGATGTAACTACTGCTTCTGTAGTGAACAGAACACGGGTGGGGACAATCGGATGTATTTGGTATAAAAATTACAGACCATCTCAATAAAATCTGAAAACTATATAGTAAATCGTCAATTTGCAAAATATCAATCCATCATATGAAACTGACTGTTCCTGTTGCAAACATCAATCCATTGTCTCCCATTTCATTGTTCATGTGTTTTCATACAAATTGCATAGTGTTCTCGCTCTTCCTTTCTTGATCTTTTTCCATCTTCTGCTGCCAGACATTACGTTTTGATCTCGCGTCATATACTACTTACATCAATATAAGTAGCACGCACCACACTACTAATCCGACATTTGTCTCGATAGTTTCATCTTGTTATGTTAACATAGTGTTGAAACTGGAACCGATGCACATCACTTCCAAGTTCTATATTACTTAAGGTTATTTGACTTCTGCACTGTTTTACAATGTGAACCAGAAAATACACTTTGGCTAAATCTGATCCAACTTTAATAACTAAATAATTGGTTAACTTAACTATTTTCCATCAATATAAACACTTATTATCGATAGATTTTGTTTTTTCTTCACTTTTTTCGCGTTTTTATTCATATTTATCATTAATAGACAGTTAGTCAATTATTCACCTGGTGAATTACAACGATTAACAATTGCGGCTGTATGTTTTTATCAACCAGATATGATATTTATGGATGAATCTACAAGTCAATTAAGTGTAGCTGATGAAGCACAAACCTATTTAAGTCTTTCTAAAAGAAATATTACACCAATTACAATTGCACATCATAATTCTGTTCGACAATATCATTTGATGGAATTACAATTAATGTCTATCGATGAACAGACTACTATTACTACTACTGAAACAAGTCAATTGAAAAAATGGAAGTTGATTAAAATTGAGTAAACTATATATATATACATGTGCAATCTCATTATTGTCACCGTGTTAGACAATTTAGATTATTCTCTCCATATTTTGTTTAAACGTCAACTTATGAGTTTTAGTCATTTCTTCCTTTCTCTTTTTTTTTCTATCATCCTCTATGATAGTAGTAGTAGATTGTAATCTTCTTAAAATTATAATAATAATAAACTTGACCAACATGTATTTGTCATATTTGTAACTGTTAGTGCAATAAATGCGTTTATTGTTACTTGTTTTATGTGTGTAATTCATATTTCACAAATACGTTTTCTCGAGTTCCTACGGTTTGTTGGGTCTGTTTGGTTTTTCAACAACAACAAACATAGAATTTCTGATACCTTTACATTGATATTTTTTGCAACTTGTAGGTAGGTTTGTTTCCTAAACTATTTTATCAATGACTATACATTTTATTCTGTATTATCGTTGAAATTAGTTGCAATAAGCTTACTGATATCTGTTAAATTCCTCAATTATTTAACTGTAGTTTGTAGAGTTATATTCACAAAGTACTGGATATTTCTGTTTAAGACGTATTGTGTTATTTCAATCAGTTTCTAAATTTCACGGCAGAATTTATAATTAGGAGTATTGAAATAACAGAAATTTTGATTCATTTTGGTTTGAACAATAATTTTAGTTAGTTAATGACAACTGCCAAATATACCTAGAAGATAAATCAGTAAGTTGTGATCACTAAAACAACTTGATGAAATTATTATCAAACCTAAGATGTGGTGGCTGTCGCGTAAGTGTTTCTTGTTTGCTTAATATTTTTCACACAAATATGAAGGGTTTTCAACAATTTGTATACATTGTCTTATAACTAACCACGTTTATTCAGATATTGTTATGATTGATTATTTACGCGGATGTTGTGGATGTTTCAGTGGTAAGTGCAAGCTATCTGTTTGGGATCTGAGTGATCAGTGATTGAAAGTGTTGGGTGGCAGGGCTTATGGTTGACTAGAATGTCACAGATACACTAACTCATTGTCGTCCATCAGATCTTGACTTTTATTACCCTTTCAGATTTACGTTTAAGTCTCGTCCTTTTGAATCATTTTCTCAATTCTTAGTCCTCCTCCATGTTATTCTTCTCACACTTCTTTTAAATTGTCTGCTATTCACTATGTTAACTCCGCATCCTTGTGCTGATATGGTTTGTTAACATGGACTAATGCACAAGCTCCACGTTGATTGTTACTTGTCAACTCTCAATGGTTATTAAGTTTAAAAATAAGTGGTACTAGTATGATGTGGTGTTTAAAAGTCAGATCCCATGATCGTAAGTGTTATTAGAATAGTAAGCAATAATTTGAATTCATAATTATTTTGAAATCTTGAAGGTGTGCTATATAAGCAGTTGCTATTCAGTACGGTTTCATTTTCATACATTAACTTATTCTGTTGATCTTGAGTTTCTACGAGACACATTGTATGTAATAACTCTACTGTTTAAATACAAAAAACAAATATGCGAAGCGAAGGTTTTATTCTACATGAAAGTAGACCAAGTGAAAACTCTTTTCTACAGCTTAGAATCTGATATTCGATTAGTGTCTTTAATGGTATGTCAAAAAATTTTCAAAACATTGCCACCCTTGTTTACTGAGATTTACATAATCCATGTGATGAAATTCAATGCGATTATTTCTTTGTTTCATGTTTTAATCAACGACAAACTAAGTTTGTATGTACATATCTTTAATGAACTGAATAAGTCACATCCATCAACTATCGTGACTGAGTGAGAATATTCAGTCCTCTTGATTGAGAAAGGGTTATTATGGGGTAGCAACTGTTTTTCTTACTGTTAGGGCACATTGACTGAACTGAACTAATTTAAGATCAGAAATGTCTTAGATTAGTCCGGTAATGTCGGCTATTAGTATGCTGATTTTGTCACGTCATGTAGCGTATTAGCTATGATAATGCCTAGAGATTCAATGTTTATTGCATACGAACCGGGTTTCCATTTGCCTGAACATCAAGACTGGTATTTTGCCAAAATCCATTGTGTTTAGATCTCGACTATCGTATTCTTTCGATTTTATATTTCAACAACATACCGATTCCTTTTACAATTCCTATTATCACAGTCCTTTAGGAATTGAAAGTGTATGGTTATAAGCCTTCGGAAGTGTGAAGAAACAGAAAGTATTTGACCGTCAACCTGTTGGTCTGAAAAGTAAATCTTAAATCGTTCTCAGGAATAAAATTCATGATGAGAACAATAGTCATGCGAAATTATACAATCTGATAACTTAGAGAAATTGTTGTAAATGAATACGAACGCATTTGTAGTATTACGGTCTACTTCGTTTTCAGTAATGCTCTAATAACGTATTTGCTATGATGCAAATGCCTAATCTATAAGATCCTACGTGGAAGTCACATCATTGTCTACACTGTCTCATTGAATCCTAACAATCAGCAATATATGATAGAGGACACTTTTAGTCTGGAGATAGAACAATGTATTTAGCGTGGGTTGCACAAGAATAACCACATATGAAAGGCCGAGCCATGCCATTCGATGAATTGAAGTTAATCCTTCCTGCTTTTTCCATTGTTTGGTTTTTTCACTGCATGAAAATTTGAATATCGATTTTCCCAGTTTTCTCGTGGGTGAAGGTACTGAATGTCGATGACTTCATGACAGTGGCGTGTAAAAAAGAGTCTAGAAATGACGGTCTACGTTTCGAATCAATATGTGTCGGTCGTACAGTCTTTCGGAATAAACAACCCACTCTATTCATGGTTTTCAATGACTCTTTCTCATCATCTAGACCAATCACCAGTGGAGTCATCCAAGGAAGCGCATTAGGTCCACGTTTGTTTCCTATGTATATAAACGATATATGTAACATCATAAAACTTGGGAAACCATACTTATATGCTGATGACCTCAAAATGCCGTACAGCTATAAGCCTGAAGCTCTGAGCGAGTGTATCCAAAATTAAAAGTGGCCTCAATAAACTATCTGAAGCAAAAAATGGCAATTAATATTTAACCTCATCAAGTGCGAGATCAAGCATTTTGGAAATCATCCCTATAAACTACAACGTTACTTAAATAAAAGTAGAGTCCAGACACTCAAATCAGTGCACGATCTAGAAATTAATTACACAAGAAGCACGAACTTTAAAGAATATGCTCCCTCTATTATTTCTAAATGTAGACGGCTAATTGGTTTCATGGCGAAAAAAAATTCACAAAAGAGGCTGAGGTTACACTCTACAAAATATGTGTACGACCCCGATTGAATGTTGCTCTTTTATCATCTGAAATATGAATACCACAGATAAGATAATAGTAGATGTTCAAAAAAGCTTCTCACGTCAACTACTAGGATGTAACTTCACTCTCAATTACACAGAAAGATGTAAGCACCTTTCATTACAACCTTCGTGGCACCGCCTGCTAAGGATCAATCTAATATTTCTCTACAAAGCAATATGTAGACTCTCATTTCTAACTTCCTGCATAACTACGATCCGTGACCCAGCCTACAGACTGAGACAACGCATATACACTACTTACTGCAAAACACCAAAAACAAATGCGTTGTAAGTTCTTTGCGGTGCGGTATAGCTTATCATGGAACAATTTGCCAGTCGCTTCCGGTAACTGACAAATGTTGATAACCTTGTTATCAGACTCTAAAGGGCCTCACCAACTATTCCACGAACTCCTGCACACCAATGTGGCACTTTATTATGGACAGCCTAATATCTGAAATGAACCAGAACATAACGAACCCCATATTTAATAATATAAATATAACTAAATTGCAGAACACATGGTTTGTCCCCTGCCATTATTCACCGATTATTAGTCATGGCATTATGCTTCTTACCCGCATATTTAAATCTCGAATCACTCTAATGATTGAAGATACAGTAATCCTAATAAATGCCATGTCATTTTTTTCTACAACAAGTAGACAGATAACTCATTAATCTTATGGATGCTAATCAACGTGATTTGTACCCATTTACAAACATTCATTGGAGTAGCAATCATGGATGCGTTATACACATTGTGGGATCTTGGATGACTGTCGATGGCTTGAGTTGTCATATTTTTTTTCTATAAGAAACAGAATTAACCACGCAATTCTGTTTGCCAGACGTTCCATGACCGCTGCTATTTGGAGGGAAAGGCACAGAAGAAATTTCATTTCTTGAGCTTTTATTTCTAACAGACCTCTTTATAAGCCGTCCTTCATCCTTTGGTTCATGTAAGTCAATTAACTCTGAGCTTATTTGAGGTAACTTCACATCAGTTTCTTTAGCGACTGTTTGATTTTGTAGCGATAAATAAATCCCCAAAATAAATAGCTCTAAGTTTTCGACATTGGATGCTGACCATATGCTTTAGTGGACTCATCTAGCTGAAGGCCCTCGGTCAGGCATCCGTACCAGATCACGTGTGGTAACGCCGTGCTCAACATCAACCGCAATCGCTAGCCAGATTAGATCAGAGAATTCCGATATTTTGGTTATCGCTAAATACACTCTTCCGATCTCCTTGACTCTGTCTTTTGATTTCTCTAGGTGGTTACGAATTATATTAGATGGTGTTACTGGTAGAAGCTTTGTCAAACACTGCATACCAGTGTCATTTTCATTGGTGAAACCGACGTGATCTGGTACTCCTAATTGCGACTGTGAGTCTGTTCCTTTTTGGGATTTTTATATGTTATCGCCTTATTTTTTTAATTTTTATACATTGTGATATTTATTTCCCGTGTCTCAGGATATCTATATTTCTCGGTTACGTATGCTAATATACCTTTTAGCAACATTCACCGTTTCTGTGACATCGGATAACAAGCGATTGATGTTCGAAAATGGTTGCTAATGTATTCACAATCATCTATATTTGTCAAAAAGTTTGAAAACCACAGTCGTCAGATTCGTCCAAACTTTGTGCTATCAACCTTTGGACTCACCACACTGCATGCCATTTCAAAGGGGTATCGGCAGCCTGAGAGTTATCGAATGCTTTTTGGCACTGTCCAGTCATCAAACATAGGACTGCGACAGAAAACAAGTACAAACAATACACAGAAATAAAGTAAAACTGATGACTAGTAATAATGAAAAGTATAAATTGTTAGAAACAAGAGTGCAAACAAATACCAAAAAACCAATGTACTCAAAAGTGTCATATCAAATTACTTTGACTGGAACAAATCCACTTAAAGTGAAAACAGCATTGTTGACGCATAATTAACGATCGAGATAACAAAATTATCTCTACGAGGGAAAATATCACTGACCTTTTTGAATAGCTGGAGTGGTTTCAACTGGTAAAATTTTGGATTGATTTTCAGCGACAATAAAATTTTAAATAATATAAAAAGGTATATATATATACATAATTTCAGATATTCTGTTTTGGTGAGCAGTTCGTTTGCGCGATTTTTCAAAATGCTTGCATGTAGCACGTCTAGAATGCCACACTGTAACGGGGCGGGACTGTAATTCATAGACGAGCCAATCAGAGGCGTTTGAAGGATTTCAAGGTTAGGGCGCTGACTTCAGTGTTCTGTGCTAACGTACGATGAGTTTACAAGGAATTTTGTGCAAAACGTGATAATTGAGCGGCTATAACAAACTAAACGGCAAGACTGTAATTTGTGGACGGATGAATCAGGTATAAGATAACAGATCTCGGATTTGGGCACGAAAGCCTTTAATCCATTTGACTAAATATATTTCTGGCAGTATAGCTGATGTCAGTTCATGATGAAAACCCCATATATAATTCCTAACTGAGGTAAATTATCGCGAACTAGATGATAAAATTATCAGTAACACTGGTTGCAGCTAGGCACTGCAATATTAAGAATGATTGGAGAGCGTACATACTCACACATTGGCTTGATCATGTGCATCGTGTCGTTATCCACAAGTAGCATTTTGTGTACTCAACAACCGAAGTGCACATAAACAATACTGAAGCTATGTGGTCGAGGCTGAAAGAGTTTTTGAGACTTTATCATGCCTACGGAGGCCGGCTATTTTGTAGCCGTATGAATGGTTTCCTCCACTGCATGCATTACGATTTTAGGACCTCTGAACCTCGTTTAAACCTTGACAAGTTTTTGAACCACGTATAAGAATTATCCACTATATTTCCTTGGTTTTGTATAATATATTTTTACTATATACATACTGTCCTCTGATTGCCTAATATTCTCAGGGTCACTTAAAATTCGTTCAGAGGTCGTCCATGAATTTGAGTCTCGCCTGATAAGCTTCCCTTTTTATACTCGAACCGCGTCCTATTTTTCAAATAAATATCTGTTGTGCCAGTATGCCGTTTTCCTACTTCAGTGGCATTTACGAGTCCTGACTATTGTGTTGTGTTTCAGATCGCTCCTGCTCTCAAGTAAACGCTAATATTACGTGCTACAACACTATCAACTCTTAGTCTCAGTAATGGAACTGTTTTAAGCTCATGTCTGCATTATTTTTGATTTTTGTCAATTACTTTCATCACTTATTGTAAGTGCAGTCTATTTGCTTATCTAGTCGTTGACTCATTTTTACTTGTTCTTTTCTCTACCAGATCTAGTAATCGATAATCAAACACACTGCTCCCCACAATCCTCTGGCATCCAAGATCCCTTCAGGCTGAACAGAAACTTTATGAAATCTAGACATTAAAAGCATATGGACTTGTTTAAGCTGTATACAAAAAAGATTTTGGATTCATGGACATCTTTGCGCCTTGGTCTAAATCAGGAGTCTGGAGGTCCAAACACACAACAAAAAGTTGGATTATTGTATGAACATCTACCTGAGGTTGTTTTGAAGTCTAAACACGAGGATGAAATAAGCGACTTTTTGGAAGATTATTTAGATGATGAACTAAATATTATTTGTGAAGACAAATCTCATGAAGAGGTTGCACGTCTAATATACGAAGGACTTCTTCTTTTTCGAAATAAAAACACCAGTGAACTTCAGGATAAAATAGACAAACTGACAACTGGTTGTAATCTTAATCAATGTTTATCTCAAGACCAAACCACTGACGATTTGACTTGCAGTGAGTCAGACTCAGGAAGTGAGGAGGACGTTGACATGGAGTAAAAGCTTTGTTTGCAAAATGTATAATATTTCCTTGTACATACTAGTTTGCTTTGGTTATAATAATGCAATGTCTTTTCTCTTATCTGCTATTATTAAACATGTGTGGGTTGCAACTTCCGAATTTAAGAATTTCGCTGACATGATGCGGTTATTCTCTGATTAACCTAATAAACGAGTGACGTTTGGGTAGAGAACTTCATTGGCTAAAGTTGATGGGGAAAATAGACGTGTCAGTGGTTCTTATTGTAGCCTATGGGATCTAGGACTAGTAGATAAAGAGGCGGTAACCAAAACTTATTCGTTTAGCTACATCTTCCTCGAGAGTGTATTATCGATGCAAATTGTCTTCCATCATACACAGCACATTTATCGTCACTTCACTGTTTTTTAGTCATAGCAAATGTCATGCACATACTCACCGGAGACATATTCGATTTTACTGCTGGTTTTGTTCGCAAATCAACATCCCGGAAGTATGTCATTGCTAAAACGTGTTACATATGGATCATTTAATCGTGTTTCTTGGTTAATACAGCTGTTCTGTACGTGTAGTATGGGTAAAAAACAGAATGAACTAGTATACGATTAAAACCAAACGGTGTTTTATTGGCTTTCCTCACCTTGACTTAGATTAGAAATAATACGCTTAGTAGGATATAGAGAACAAGGAGAATTGACGCTATCTAGTTTGGAACCTATAGGACATAGTGCTCTGATATTTTCAATTCATCCGTAAATGTTGGAATAAACCACTTTTATTTGTAGTGTGCTTTAGTTTGTTGGGTATCATATTTATGTATGGGTTGGTTAAATGGTTGAGAATTTGTTATCTGTAAATGCGCTAACACACATCTGTAGACAATCTATTTGAGTAGACGAGGTCTGCTTAAGATGGACGGAACGCTAAGATTTCCTAGCCTACGCTGAAGTCAATTCGTGGTTGGTACGTGAATTGAATCATCCTGTAATGATAAACAGATAAATCGGAGTCCTTGACGACATTTTGGAATGCATGCTGACAAAGCGGATATTTTAGCAAAACCAAGTTAATGAGCTACAAGGACGGACCGCTGTGTATCCGTCAGTCTACGGCGTGTTCTTTACTAGTCAGCGTTCGTTAACCCTTAACTACAAGATTTTCTACGGACTGTCCGACGCAGTTATAGTTCAGCCTGATGAGTGACTTGGTCAGGGCCCAATGAGGTTCCACTGGCCCTCTACTCTCAAAAATAACTGCGGTAGGATTCACAGGGATCACCTAGTAAACTACATTTGATGATGGATGCTTCAATTTTCGACTCCTGCTCAATTTGCCGATAAGCTTACAGAATTATGCTTAAATACTACCAAAGTCGACATTTTTATTACCTACAAAGACCACGTTTCGCAGCCATAAAGTGGCAGTCCTGAAGCAAAATTTCGCATCAGAAGGGATGTAACAGACATTTTTCTATTGCCCCTAAGTACTTTCTTTTAGTACTTGCACAAAACAGCCTTATAGAATAACACCACTATTAACCAATCGAGGGAAGGTACATTCACCGGAGAGTTGTGACGCAGACTATCTTATATCAGGACTATCGTTGCTCCATGCCTCCTATCTGACGTTCGCTTCACAAACAGTTCGTCAACACATTTCATATGGTACAATACAACTACCTGAATGTGCCACTGATAGTTATTTTGCAGTTTTTGCTCATTGAAACGACCTAAGACAGCGGGCGAAAAGGTAGAATTCTGGTGGTTTTGCAATGTTTGAACAGCCAAACAGTTAGAATTAGTGAAATCTTAGTTCATTTGTACAGCGCTTAAGACAGCCAGTCTTCAACTACAAGACTGCAGGTCCGAATATTCGTCTTGTTTACTATGGTTTGAGTAGCGGAATAGTATCCCTAGACATCTTTAAAAAAGTAATAAAGACATTTTAACATGTCCTCGATGTTAATAGTTATTGTATTACAAACATTCATTTCAAAACGTTTTTGTTCCTGGATAAATTTAAAATACTTAGTATTAATCTACTCAACTAAGTTTCGAAAGCATTTAGTCTAGACGTGAATGTATGTAATACATGTCTATACCCACCAGTAGATCTTAGAATGATCAACGGCCAACACTTCAGATTAATAAGCAGTATATTGATGCATTCATTACAAAAAGAATTATTATATATTTACAAGTATACAATCCTCGAAGGGGATTTTTTTGCCTGGTTAAACATGATCAACTGCTAATTCTAAATAGTAATTAAGCGAAATATTTGGTTCAGAAAACTTTTGAAAGTCCAAAAAGTCTAAGTTTCCATGTAATGGAATAGATGGACGATTATCCGTTAGTTTGAAGAAATTCCTTACTGATTGTCGTAATGCTTCCTCTTCTGCAATTAATATCGTTTCACCAGGAGCTTAAGTGATTGAAATAAAAATAGACAAATTATTATAAAACAGGCCGAGGTATAAACTTGTTACTAATTTAGAAATTCAAAGTATCTGCTTTTCTCTAGTTGTGTACATAAAAATGAAATTTTTAAAAATCCACTGGGTTTAATTGATAATAAATTTCATGGGCTACTTTTCATAATCATCACAAACATCAATCTTAACAATATGCTAATAACACTACATACGTATAAAAAGTAACCGAATCGATTGTTATTCATCTCAAGTTACAGAATACGAACAAATCATAAACCATAAAATTTATAATTGATTTTAGCAATATATATTCAGGTGTTGCTCACCCACAATTATGTGGTCAGTATAGGTCATTCGTGATGTAAAAACGTCTTTGAGGCAACCTGTTCGTTAGAACTAGTGACGGTACAATTTCAGTTGCCGAAATTTGAAGAAACAGAACAGGGCTCATATCTGGGACCTATTGATTAAACAATCAATGATTCTTAACTATTAATTCATTACTTTACTACTTCCTCGCTACCCTTGAACAATGTGCATTTATTAAGAGCTCACAAAATATCGGTAAAGTTTCTAAAATTAACATTACAACAACTTGGTTTAACCTCTGATATCTTCCCTAACCAGCATTAATACCATTAACATCATGTGTACCGCATCTAATTAAATGTAGGTACACAAGCTGTCATCGAATTTGTTGCCTAAAACTTCTTGTATATCTAGAATAGTGCCTAGTTTGTAATTAACCGCAAATCTTATGACAGTAATGGTAGATAACTACCAACATTTTTGTAAATCTCGTTGTCTAACTTGGTTATCCGTTCGAATTGTCAAGGCGTATGCTCTGCCATGATTTAGTGCTAACCTGACTTTTACGAGAACTGATAACCAGGTCTAAATATACTTTCTTTAGTTGTAGCCACATAAGTAACTCAACAAATAAATCGGTGAATGGACATGCTGCGGTTTCCATGAGTATAGATTAACAGCCGATTCATGACTTTCCCACAGTCTTACGAAAACTCAATCCCAAAAAATAAGTACAGGCCGAATTCCTGATGTTTTGTTGGCTATTACAGTATGAGTTATATCTTGAACAACCATTTACCAGTATAAATGTAGAACAGATATTCAGTTGCACATCATTTATGTTACATAAATCTATCATAAAAATCTTAACATCCTGTATGTGTTAAATGTTAAGAATATGCTGTTTACCTTCTCCAATGAGTTGACAATCACTATATATACCAACTTCAAAACAGGCTAGCACAGTATTCATACTTGACTGATAAATTAATCTGTAAGGAGAAGTGACCAAATAGATTATCTATTACATTCATATACACAAAGTTATAATATATTAGAATTGTGTCTACATATGATTAGAAGTATGTCATGATTTAAAACTATGTTCAACCAATAACTTCAGTGTGCTTCTATATTGTAAAGTGAGCTATTTTCACAAAAAATTGGAATTTTCTATTGCAAGAGGTGAGATAGTGACTAATCAACAAAATGTTTCGAAGAAAAAAAAGTACGTAGCGAGGCTCTGAGTATTTTTTTTCAAACTTGTTTGAATTACATTTCGAAGTAAATAATTTATCATTTTAGATTAGACAAATTAAGATGAGAGCGAAATTACTAGAAGCCTTGTATTCTATGAAGTGGATATTTTAATGGTAGCCTTTTTTGTTTCTCTATATATCATTAATAAATGCTTTACTATCAAATAATCCAGTCTAAACAACTAGGTAATTCCAAAAGCCTTTCCTTGAGCACACAAATATGTACGAATAAAATAGAGTTTATTTAATCCAACTTAAAATTAGTCACAATGCTCTAGATATATTTGAATCTTTAAATTACTTTTTGCTGGACCTTTGAAATCGCTAATATTCTGCACTTTTTTCTCTCTTTATTTTATTCCTTCATTTCTGAACAGTGTTTTCGATGTTTACTCTTTCTGACTACCATTTATATGATTATATCATTTTGACTACTCAATTAGCCATTTACATTTTGTAAATTTAATTTCACAGTGTTGATATGATGTAACAACTTTAGTTACTAAATATTGATGTCAAGTCCTATGTTGATTTTTATTGATTAACTAAATAATAAAATCAAATCCAAATTTTCATGTGCAAAACTAACATTTCAATACATAGTTTCGTAAACAAAGGAATTTCGAATGTATTTTTGTGTTATCTTCTTCCCCACAACAGTTAAAGATGAAGGGGCAAACTTTAGAAAAACATGATTTTAAACTAATACATACCACTTACCTGGTTTCAGGTGGGCCACGCCCTTCAGATTGAAGTATACCCTGTAGAAGGGGTAATGGATTAGGAATTGAAATCAGTTCAGTTAAATCTATATCAGGAAGTCTTGCTAGTATGAAATCCCGAATAAACAAATGTGCTTTCTCCATCTAAGTCACAATAATAATAATAGTTGTTAAAAATTTATTTTTGTGAAAACATTTTATAAATAATAATATATTTCGATTGTTAATCTAACAACATAAACATTACTAAAACCGAAGTTTGTCAATATTTGGTATATATATATATTGCTTTTTTATTTCCAGCAATCCAATCAAGTGAACAAATAAATTTCATTACTAATTTGAGTGAAATTCTTAAAAAACGATTAAATCATATATGGATGAATATTAGTCATAATTAGGAGAAATAAGGCAAGTTTTTTTTGAATACATTCACCTTATCTTTTGCTAAAGCACCGACTAAAGCCATAAGTGCGTGAGTTAAAACATCCAGATTCGGTGGAGCTGATATAATTTTATTGCTTGAATAGTCTACTTGATCACTGTACAATACTATATCTTTAATTCCTAAATGAGCGGCTATAAAAGCAAGCTCAGAAGGTGACTTCAAATACTGAACGATAGTCATAATCCACTCTTCAGGGAATCGAGGATACACTGATCGCAAGAAGACATATAAAAAATTTTCCGAAACAGAAAATCCTACAAAGTAAACAAAAACATATAAAGAATACAGCAGATTAACTAAAGTTCATGAGTTTTAGTAGATATTCAACAAAAACCACTACACGATGATATATTCGATATGAACTAATTGAATGTCAATCATACATCGTATAAAACTACATAATAATGAATCATTTAAAAGTAAATAGAAACTCCTAGTTGTTGAGAAATGTGATGCTTCCTGACAGCTGGCTACGTGCAATAATATACACATGTATAAGGAGACAGTAAAATACGGGTGCTATGACATATGCAGATCAAATAGATGATAATTTGTGACCTGTTTCCGATCCGAATTGATCAACCAATGAGAAACACTTGTACAACGAAGTTTTATCGTTTGATATTCCAAGTACTAAAATATAGACCCATGAAAATCTAAACTTTAGTTAATGAAGTAGATTTCAGATTGTGTGAAGGGCTACTAAACATTTATATGAACAACATAATTTTACTGCCATAATCATAAGAAAAAAGTTTTTACACTAAGAACATAAACTATGCAGACGAATTCTCCGTAAAAAAATATTCAGACAGAAACTAAACCATAAGTGATATACGTGAGTAAAATACAAACATATCCTTTCCCCAATGCTAATCACTTCTAACTTTTTTATGAAACATACATATGCCATACAACACTGTAGATTGGTGTAAATGGTGATCAGAATATGTTACATACACTCAGCTACCTCAGTAGATGAAGATTCACAGCCTTTGTAATCGATCTACAACTTCGATCTATTTTCCCACCTACAACCTTAGAATCGCATAGACGAACAATGGTTTTGAGACATATATGGCTAGACACCAACCATCAAAGGCCGTGTTCACAATCATGCATTCGCTATGCAAGAGATTGATTTATTGCTATTTTTGGTGAACTAAACATCGTTCGGGCACTTTACCAGCTAAATAGTACAACTTTATCACGTAACGCAACAGTTTGCATTTCACTGTTATGAAAAATTGTATTTCCTCCCCGAAAGACCTATTACATACTGTTACAAAGATGAATAAGGGGTTTACAAGGTTGCAGCGTATAATATACTACCTTTAGAAGAACCTTTGCAGATGAAACAAAGTATTGTTTTGAGTATTTTAATGACCGTCAACTTGGCTTCCGAAGAGAACTACAAGCAAATAATTCGGTCTTCCCACACAGGTATTATTTTACATACTCATTTAAAATGCGAAACTTAAAGTTTGGTAAAGAAACGTCCTGATGATTGATAAATTAGAACAACTAACAACCGAATGAGTAGATAACAGATAGACGGAATACAGTTGCGTGGTATTGTGGATATCTTAGCTGCTATTTTGGTGTGGTGGTCAGGCTTACCTATCGTGAAGACTCAACTGAGCTATGTTAGATGAAGCACATGTTGTATTAGATGTAGCCATATCAAGCAGGTCGGGTCAAGGACCGTACGACTGAAAGAAGCAACTTTAATTCAAAGTCGTACAACAGACTGTGGAGGGGTGTGATAGAAGGTATTTCCATCAGAAAACTAGTATCTATGATGATGCTGCCTTCTCACAACGCAAGGAAAAAGCTAGGAAATGTCACCTCAACCCACAGATTAATGCCTACAGTGATAAGGCCTTTTGAAGATCACAACTAACATATACAAAGCTTCCCATAAAAAAGTCGTGTGCTACCGACTCCAAGCAGTTATTCCTGTGGCTCAGTAGTCACATCAACAGGTATAGACTACCTGGTTGTTGCCCGAGTGATTATAATAACTAGTGACCAGACTTTAAATAATATGGCTCAAAGTCTTGCAGGTGCAACCACTATGTATTCCGAATTCTTCACAGTGTTTTTTATTTCAATAAATTAGGTTTTCTTGAATCGTATCTTCGATGTCTAATTTTTTCTTTAACCACTGAAACCGTTATTATCTTTACTACTTTGAGACATGCCTTAACATTTTCACCTCGCCGCGTCATAAACCAACTGAGTATCTTTAATCGTTCATAAAAACTACTTATTAATACCTTTCATTGATGGATTTTCTCTTCGTCCTGTATTTCTTACCAAGTCTTACGTACCATAACTGACTAGTCAACTTAATGCGGTCAACTTGTTTTTGCCCTTTACCTCAAATCCAAGTGAGTTTTTGGGATTCAACGGCTTGCGCAATTAGTAGAAGCTCAGTAGTTTTGTCTAACCTTTTAAAGCAAGCCGAATTTAAACCTGTATCAGATTAAGATGGATGTATATACCATAATTAATTGAGTTTCGAACTGCATTTTGTTTATTTAATTTTCAACACTTGTCATTAAACAATTACGCGATTCTCCAAGAAGCCTTCTAAGCACACAGTTAAGCTGATAACATCAATGGATGCAGCAAAACGAATGTAAATTTTCTGAATTCTGTTGCTAATGTTGCTGCTTTATGAAGTCAACACAGATGCAAAATCACATAATTTGTGCATGTTAGATATAACTAGAAAACGGAAGATCTCGTAAAGACAAGTACTATTGCTGGTGAAGGTTGATAGACCAATTAAATCGATAAAAATAAGTGTTTTTGCTACACGTTGCATTACCCTGAATTTTACATGTATTTGGCATAACAAAATACATGTTTTTTTGACCCTGAGAAATTGGTGGGTGAGACATATGAGGTGTTAATACTAAATAATTATCAGACATGTTATTAATGGTTGAGACTCAATATACATGAATTTAAAGATGATATTAGTTAGCGAGTAACCTTAGGTTTCTTAACAAGTCAAACATTTCTACGAACAGAAATCTTAATCGTCAACTCCTTACCTAGAGCAGCGAGTTCCGAGTTGTCTTGCATTATTTTTCTGTCTGAATCGGCCGTTTTTACAGACCAAAATGAGGAATATGATCTACGATTCAATACACGGTATGATTTTCAATTGAAAACTCAGTAACTACCGATCTGTCAGAACGACCTCAATAAGGTCTTTCTCTAAATTCTCACCAATTCTCGACAAAAACGCACATAATTCCGAGTCACGATTCCAGCATAACCAATCTTTCCTGGGTCGATAAATCTCTGGACCTTGAGCAAGTCTTCTACCGTATAAGTCTTTCAGATATGGACGAATAAATCGAGGTCTTCTGCTATGGCGCACACCTAATATCAAAATTAAAGATGGAAAACTACCACATACAAGATATCAATACGGGAAAGATGGTAAATAGACGTGACATCGAAAGCAACGCACTATGACCTTCGATTTGAAATATCACCGTGAAAAGGTCTCAACACGAATAAATTCTATAGTTTTACTTCAGAACTGGTCAACCGACTTACTCAACCTTTCTTTTGAACCTTCAACTCAATAATATGAGCAAGATTTATTTGTACCCGAGTGTTCAAGTGGATTCCTTTTACTTAAAAAAGACGCGTTGAGAATTTTAAAGTGCATTTTCGACCAGTTTGGTTCATATGTATGTGGGAGGAACGTTGATGTGAAATTATTTAAATATTAAACTGGATTCAGTTGTGGGCACGAGACGCGTAGTGAACGTCAGTATATAGTACCGTAATCGAATTGTGAAAAATAATTAGCCGATAGGTATTACTATATCTCATGGTGGTTATAAAACAATGAAATATGCTGATGACGGAAATAAGAATATCACTACCATTCATTGAAATTCTACAGAAATTACTGTGTTAAGTATTATGCGAACCACTTATTTCTCATAAGTCTTGAATGATTTTGTAGTGTCGAGTTCTATTCAAGCCCACATAGCTTATTCTAGCTTACGATAGGCCAATTTATTCACTCTTCTTGATGCACGTTTTGAACTCGTTATTCATTCGCTTATCATCTTTGACTGTTTTTATATATATCTATATGTACTTCTCATCCTATTCATTTCATGTCTGCAACTTTTTTTTGTCTGGCTATAAATATTGATGAACGATTGATTAAATGGAGTAAGCTCACATGTTTCGTTTCTTTGATCTTTTGTTCGGACTAACGATTGTATGGCTGTATGTAAACATTCGAAAATCATTCTCGTATTTGACTTGTTTAACTCCGTTTTTCACTAACGCGATTTAAGTTGATCATTATATGCGCGGATTGACAACATGTATATTTTGATAACGATAGTCATACGATCGAATTGTAGTTGGATCCGAGTCACTAAAGTTTCAAATGGTTCTGGACGGAAAAGATGAGGCTTTCACTTAACGGGCCTCCGAATCCGGTAGCAGCGGAATACTGATACCTCCAGGTAGGAACCAAGGTATATTTATTGAAAAATGAGAAATATTACGGAATGATAGTTAAACGCTGTCACGAATCCTTGAGAACGTGTCCTGATTATTGGGGATTTCAATATTCCTAAGGTCAACTTCGATGAACAAATGTATATTGAAGGTGAAAAATATACTAAAGCTCTGTTATTCAGCTTTATTGGTGATCTTGAATTATTTGAAAATGTGAATTAGGCAACTCTTTGGAGAAACAGTCGAACACCGTCGGGCTTAGTCCGGGTATTTACAAGCGAAAATTCCTAGTTGAAAACCTCTCAACCCTGGCTCCTCTGGAGAGAAACGATCACGCCCTCATAGCCTTCAGTTTCATCAGCAACAGACGCTGGAGTTTTGAACGACTGAATGTGTCCGCCTTACAGGACTACCTACAACAGGTGAATTTGTTAATTCACCCTCAAACTGATGTTGATACTCATTGATATTTCTTACTGAACACGAACTTATATGCTACAAAGCAGTTTTTTCCTCAAATTGTCATTTGCTAGGCTGAAAAAGGCACTTTTGGGCGGAATACAAACAAACTGATAACGGCGCTTACAGGTAATACAAACATATAAGGAACATATGCGCAAACGTTATAAGAGAAGACAGAATTCAGTACTAGATAAAGCTTATCGATAAATTTGTCTTCAATTCGAAATGCTTATTCCTTTATGCAGCATCTATTCGACAGGCGAAAACTGGAGTTTCTCAACTGCTAGGTGTAATCGTCCGACCAGTAACGACGGTGACGCCGCTAAGATTCTGGCTGAATAATACTCCCGGACATTTCAACCGGCCCACATCAACTATATCGATGAAAGCTTCGCCTGCCACTCCACAAGATTTTGCGAAGTGAACCAGGGCGCTGACTTGGTGTTCCGGAAACTGCAGCACCTCAGAAATGGCACCTCTCCTGGCCCGGATATGATTCATGCTGTTATACTGAGAAAAGAAGCTTCAACCCTGGCAACACCGCTTAGCAACACTCGCTAAGCCGAGGCAAACTACCGGAACATTGGAAGCTTCACAACAATTTTGAAAGGAGTTCGACGCAGAGAACCTTCAAGCTACTGACTAGTGGCCGTTTTCTCTATACCTTTAAAAATTATGGAGTCCCTGATATGTGATGGTAAACGCGACTGTTTATTATCCTTAAACTTCTTATCACCTCAGCAGCATAGTTTCAGGAATGGTCATTCTTGTATAGTCAACCTGGTGTCTGTAGTGAACAAATGGACAACCATCCTTGATCGCAAGATGAAAGTTGACATCATTTGCATTGAATTCTCGAAAGCTTTTGATAAGGTCAACGACGTATGTCTTATCAATAAGCTCAAACGATTGAGCATCAATTCACAACTAATTGACTGGCCCACTTCACATCTAAAAAACCGACATTTTAAGGTTAGGGTTAACTACAATTACTCTCAGCCTGTGGAATGTCCTATTGGGATCCCCCAGGGTCCTAACTATGACCTCTTCTCTCCTTGATATATATAGACATTGTTCCACAATAGGTAACGTCTGACATTACTTTTTGCTGATGATGGTAAACGTATTTTCCAAGCATAAAACTGTAAGCAGCCAATCACATAAGCTCAACCAAAGGATCGCTTTTCAACGAATTCATTATCCAGCTGTGCATTTTTATAATGAAATGAAAATTAATTAAGTATTGATTCCCTGAGAACGAATGAACAACGAATAGATATGATGATGTAATTAAAAGATTATAAACCTTAAAATCAACCTGCGTATCAGTGGAATGGTTAAAATTGACTAGAGTTTCAAAAATAATTAATTTACTGAAGTTCAGACAAAGATTAGGCAGAGATGGTAGGACAAATGTGCGTCTTTTAAACTGTTAAGTTAGGGTCGATTGACTTCAGACAACATAGTGAGATTGATGATTTATTCGTAAACAACTCCTTGAAATAAATGGTTTTCTAAACATTCAGGATTGCTTTCTAGCTCTTCCACATCTGCCTACGATGAAATGAACTTTTCCTTACAACTCTTATCAGTATTTCTCTTATCTGTAAACGTGGAGAAATTCTGAACTGAACCATTATTGTTTAATCTGTCGTACTAGCGTATATCTCGAAGCGATTATCTGATATTTGTCGATGTTGATCAGGTATAAAAAGCTATCCATATAAAGACTCATCATATTTCTCCAAGGTTGTTTAGAATTATCTTATCATTAGATACATCACTAAGCTTGTACTCTCTGGTAAAACCTTTAAAACATTAACAGTCATTAACATAAGGTAAAAATAAGAATGAGTGCAAAAATCTTCGACCCCATAAAGTCATTTACAGATTGCTCACATAAATAAACATGAGACACTTGATTTCTTTAGCAAGCGAGACTCAAAAAGATCAGTGGTTGAAGCAATTAGTCTCTTCGATAAATTTCGATAGTGTAATACGAAGACGAAGATTATAAGAATGATATGATATATTAGCGCAATACATTTTGAACAATGTGATCACGTATATACTTATTAAGAACATTTATATATAAAAATAAAAGGTGAAGTTTACTAGAAATGGGGGGTAAGAGGAGACAGTAATAATATAGAAAATAATGTGAAAACAATTTGAAACCTCATCACGCTGGATAATAAGCTAATATTATCAGGATAGGTTCAGGATGAGAACAAACTGTTTTTGAATACACAATTGGGTTGCAGAAACAAGTGAAATCAAATAACCCAATAAGAGTAGTTGATAAATATCCACAAACTTCTAGGCACATAGTTGATACAGGTCACAAAATCGATAATAAAACAACTTTTGTGGTGTTGAATAAAAGTGTGGAAAGGAGTATAATATGGTTTATCCCCTTTATGTATTCAAAAATGTTTTGTTGTCATCCTTAACCAACCCAGGTAATATTAGTATATAATCCTGAGTGATGAGGTTTCAAATTGTTTTCACATTATTTTCTGTACTTTTACGGTCTCCTCTTACCCCCCATTTCTAGTCAACTTCACCTTTTATTTTTATATATAAATGTTCTTAATAAGTATATATGCGATCACATTTTTCAAAATAATAGTTGCTTTGACGTTCATCCTACAGTAACGCAGAACAAATATTCATTGTAGTTGTTTACGTCACAGATGATGTTTATCACTGACAGTCTAATCACACTAAAAGTTATAGCCTTTTAGGTCATTGAGATGACACTGTCCTACAACCTATAATTTTATACTATCCTGGATCAGAAAAGTACCATATCACGGTCCTCTGTTCATATATACAGTCGACTAACCTAACCAATGTATCTATGACGAAACTTTCGTAAAATAGTGAAGTTTTGTGTTTTTTTCTCTTTTATCTATAAATTAGTTGATTATTTACTCACCATGCTATTCGCATCTTAATTACAAATAGATGCAATTATTTCTATAAAATCAGCATCGATTACTAACTTAACCATATATTACTGGTAGGAAAGAAAAGGTCACTTATTCTACTTCATACAGCGGGACATTATATCATCTCTAATAGAACACTTAATTACTGTGTCTCTCATTAGCCCAGTGTTCTCATCTACTACTCATGGTGTACGACTACTCTATATTCATTAACAACTTCAAACTAACAATCAAAAGCCAGAATAATATGTACTTTGTTTTCGTTTTTGTGAATAGGTATCACGTGGAAGTTCACATAGTTGATCAATACTCCATCTAATAGATGTTTACACATTCATAACGAATATATTGAACATCAAGTTTTTCTTGATGTTTTATTAGATATTGTAAAATTAATTCTATCTTTTTTCTTCTTGTGAAGATAGAATACTAATTATGACCGAATTCCAAGAATTGAAGTTCCAAATAGTAGTTACCATGGTGTAGCAAAAAAAACAACAATTTATTTACTAAATATTAAAAAAAAGATTAATGTATTCAATCAATTGATTAATATATATATTACAATGATAAAATGAAACAAAAGAGAACCAATCGAAATCATAAAATATGGAAAGAATTAAATTGTTCTACTCAAAAGATTGCTTTTCTTTTAAACACATGAGTAAGGAATAACTAATAAGTTTGAATTCAAGTACATTCATCAACACTACAGTGTAGATATACCCAAATGGAATAAAAAAGCCCCACTCACAATCTCTCAGTACTTTGCCATCTGTTACCATAATAATAATAATAATAATAATAATAATAATAATAATAATAATAATAATAGTGTACATACATGTCTAACACAAACCTATAGACTACTATTATCCTTTTT